CTCTGTAGTGGGAGAGAGCTGCTGTATAAACCTTTATAGATGAAGGTTTGAGTCCAGACTGATGTAGTTCAAAAAGGAGCTGAAGTATCTGTGAAACAGAGGCTGAGGAGGCCAGAAAAGAGTGTAAATTGGCGAAGTTAGAAAATCTTTTCCATTTCCCTCCGATCCCACTTATCATAAGAGTGCTTGCAAAGATCATTAACGAAGGAGCTACAGGAATACTAATCACTCCATGGTGGCCACGACAACCATGGTTCCCAACTCTCCTTCAAGTTTCCAGGGAGGATTTTCTTCAACCCCCTCTTCTCCCTTATCTAGTCACCCAGAAGGAAGGCACAGTTCATCACCCAGACTTGCTATCATTGAAACTGACTGCATGGTGGATACGGTGACCCGGGGTGATACATCGGTATCGACACCGCCTACCATCCCGACCATGCATGCCCAGCAGAGCCTGCACCCAGATCTGCAGTATATCCTTAAATTTGCACTACGACCATCTAGCAGGAAGTCGTACGCAGCAAAAGCATAAAAAATCACGCCTGTCCATGGAATCATGAAAGCGTCGCCCAGGGAGTCCCGACCCACTCCCGCTCTGGAGCAATAGGTCCTGCACACTCTGTTCCCTTGAGTGGCAAACAGGTCGATTTCTGGTCGACCCCATCGGTGAAATAACATGTTTCAAACCCGACGGTCCAACTCCCATTCGTGGGAGCATGACATGTGTCTGCTCAGGAGATCGGCTTCTGTGTTGTCGGTGCCCACAAGGTGAACTGCTAGAATAGTGATACCCCTTGGTATACACCAGTCCCAAATCTGCATGGCGAGACGGGCTAGCTTCCGGGATCGGGTTCCTCCTCGTTTGTTTAAATAAAAGACCGTCGCCACGTTGTCGGAGGTCACTTGAACGATCTGATGGAGGAGCAGATCCTCGAAAGCTTGCAGTGCTTTGAAAACGGCAAGGAGTTCCAGAAAATTGATATGATTCCTGCCATCCCGATGGCTCCATCTCCCTTGGGTACTTAGATTGGAGCAGATGGCCCCCCATCCCAGCAGTGACACATCGGTACCGAGGGTTACTGTAGGGTACCGAGGTTGAAATGGAACATGGACAGTTAAGTTGGCCGGATCCATCCACCATAGCAGGGATTGGAGAACTGAAGCCGATAGTCGAATTCGTTTGGTAGGAGGGTCTATCTGTGGCTGAAACAGTTTGTTGAAAAACAGTTGAAGGGGACGTAGTCATAGCTTGGCATGAGGGACCACAGCGATGGAAGCAGACATGTGCCCCAAAAGGCTTTGAATAGATCGGCGGGAACGGTTCTTGCTTGCCGAATTCGAGTAATACAATGAGCAATCGCATATCGTCTGTCTCGAGGAAGGAAGGCTCTTGCCAACGTCGAATCCAGTCGAGCTCCAATAAAGTCGATCACCTGCGTAGGGGCAAGGGAAGATTTGCGTTGATTAATGCAAAGTCCAAGGTCGCGCACAGAGCGCATGTAAGTTCAATAGCAGACGCAAGTCCAGCTTCCATATCGGCAACAAGCAACCAATCGTCAAGGTACGGGTAGATTCGAATCCCGCACAGCCGAAGGTGTGCACACACAGGGGCCATACACTTCGTGAAGACCCTTGGTGCCGTGGCCAATCCAAATGGTAGAACATTGAATTCATAAACTTCATGGTCCACCGCAAAGTGTAGGAAACGCCTATAACTTGGGTGTATTGAAATATGAAAATAAGCGTCTTTTAGATCCAATGAAGCGAACCAATCCCCTCTTCCCAGCAACGGAAGAATACTGTGTAGCGTGGTCATCCAAAACTTCTTTGGTGTTATGAATTTATTAAGAGCTCTCAAGTCCAGTATTGGTCTAAGAACTCCATCACGTTTCGGAACCGTAAAGTATCTGGAATAAAATCCATGGAGTCCTTCCGATAATGAGAGGCGACGAATAGTTCCCTTAACGAGAGGTTGTTGAATCTCGTCTAACAGCACCAAAGAAGGCGTAGTATATCGAATAGAACTCGGAGATGGTACAACGTCGAATTCGATTCCATATCCGTGCTGGATAATAGATAATACCCAACCATCAGATGTAATTGACTCCCGAAGGGAGAGTCGACTCTTCAGTCGATCCCCAAATGAGAGGGGGAAGGATAAAAATGGGATGAGAGGAACCGTTCGTTCGTCACATCAACGCTGTCGCCTGTCCGTATCGAATCTACGGCGACCCTGTTGGAAGCGTTGGGGCGGTTGTTGCCTGCGGCGCTGGTGACGTTGCTGCTGTTGTTGTTGCCGAGGCGGAAATTGCGAACGATATTGCGAGCGTGACCATGACCACTTACGTCTAGGTAAAGATTGTAATTCCATACGACGAGCGGTCATGCGAGACTCATGGATCTTCTTCAATTTACTGTCCGTTCTCGCGTGGAAGAGACCGGATCCGTCGAACGGCATTTCTTCAATTCTCCGCTTCATTTCATCAGGGAAATTGCAATTACGCAACCAGGCGTGTCTGCGGAGGGAAATGGCCCCGACCAGCGACCTCGAATCCGAGTCCACGTGGTGCCTCGCAGTAGAAAGCTGTTGCACAGCGACTTGCATAGCTTCCTTAACAAAAGTTTTTGCAAGTTTGCCTTGGTTTCCTGGCATAGTATCGATGATGGCATCTAGGCGTTGCATCAAAAATTATTGGTAACGCGCCAGGGTGGCCTCGTAATTATTTTTATTTTATTTTTCGATTTATATCCTGCCTTTTTCCTACAAAGGGCTCAAGGCAGCTTACATCTCCTCCTCCATCTTATCCCCACAACAACAACCCTGTGAGGTAGGTTGGGCTGAGAGTCTGTGACTAGCCCAAAGTCACCCAGTTGGCTCCATGGCTGAGCAGGGACTAGAACCCAGATCCTCTGAGTCCCAGTCCCAGGCTCTTAACCACTACACCACACTGGCTCTCGAGATTAGAGATCTTTAATCCCAGGCCCGATTTGCGATGATTCCACCACAACCGAATTTGGTTTCGGGTGGCGGAGGAGAAACGAGATGTCTTCCTCTTGCACCCGATACATAGACTCATATTTCCGGAAGTTGGTTGCGGTTGAGCTGGAAGGTCCCATGGCTGGGTCATTGCCTGCCTTAAAGTTGTAATAAATGGTAAGGTAATGGATGTGGATCGTTCGCCTCTAACAACAGCATAAAAAGCGGTCCGTGCTCGGTCCCAGCTGCTGGTGGGTTTCTATATCGCGCGATCTCACTAGTCTGGCCATGAGATCGTTAAACGATCTATAGTTCATCAGGTGATCCTGGTCCCTGTGACGCAACTGCCGCATCCGGTGCGGTTGCGCATCCGGTGAGGTCGAATCAGCCTCAGACTCTTCAGATTCCATCCAGTAAGGGGAAGGCACACTGGAGGAAGATTCAGCCGATGACTCCGATCTGCCCCGTTCTCTAGATGGGGCGTTCGGGGCATCTCTGGGAGTCGAATGGAAACGCTCCCGATGGGCTGGTAGCGAAGATCGTTCCCTGTCGGGAAGCAGGCTGCGGAGTAGTACTCTACTTGTCTCGGAACGGAGGAGTATCTAGAGTGGTACCAATCGTCCGATCTCACATCCGAGGAACGGCTTCCTGGAGGGGAGATGGCGATACCAGTATCCATCTGTACCGACAGCATTGGGGTTGGTGATCGAGCTCTAGGTGGAGAGTCTCCTATTTCCCCATCAGAGATGGAACCCCTCCTCGATTCCATGACGGGTTCAACAGCCAACCGGCGTGGTGAACCCGGTGGGGTGACCCTGATAGCATCCTGGATGGTCGGTACCGAGGGAGTCGGTTCCGAGACCGGTATCAGGATCGAAGATGAAGCTGAGCCCGAATGGCGTTGTTTTGCCTGCTCAGGGTTCCTCGGCTTTTTAGTCTGTTTGCTCATCTTGTCCTTTTTGGCCTTCTTATGCACAGGGTGTTTATCTGAATCACTGTGCTTTCTCCTCTCCTTTTGTTTCCTCGGCAGGGAAACAGGCTGGTCGGCCATAGCATGTGCGCCTTCCTGAGAGGAACGTGAAGGTGGAGCAATGGAGGAGGCCGGGCATTGCGGCAAATCAGCCGAAGTTGGACGGCCTTCGGGTGGGGCCACAACAGTGGAAGACTTAGCCACCCGGTGGTCCGATTGGAGAAGAACCTGGTCCCACAGGAGTTTTCGAAGGCGGTTCTCTCTATTTTTCTTGCCTGTTTTGAGAAGGCCAAACAATGGCCGCACTTATCGGTTCTGTGCCCCTCCCTTAAACAAAGAAGGCACAGATCATGCGGATCCGCTGTGGGCATTTTCGAGCCACATTTTCCGCATTTGCGGAACATCGCCTGTTGCGCCATTGTAGAAATTTTGAAAAGAAAGAAGATAGTAAAGCGGGAAAGTAATATTCTTGTTTTTTTTTTTTTTTAGGAACGATAAGAAGAAAGAAAAAATAGTGCACGTTAAAAGAATTATAAGTGAAGTACTAACAACAAGAACAAGGGATACAACTTGATAAGAGAAAAAAGGCAAGGATTTTCGAACGAGGTAAGTAATAAATCCTAGCGAGAGCAAAGTGGCACTAGGCACAGCGAAACGGCGGTCGCAAAGACTGGAAAATGGCGGTCACTCTGCTCCTTATATACTGCTAGGGGGGAGGGGGAGCAGAGTCCCCGCTGGAAGGGAAACTGTTAGCTATCAATCTTCCGGCCAAAGGCACTGCGCAGGCACAGAACCCATATGTGTGATGCACAGAGGCCATGACGAAGAAATGCTTTCATATTTCAAATAAATCAAAATGTGGAGAAATTCTATAATCTGCATGTGTATAAACATTGGTTATAATAAGTCCATAGTTTCAAATAGGAAATATTTTAAGGACCCATGACATAACTAAATTAATATTTTGTGTATTTTTATTTGGAGATGTAGTTGCAAATATCAGTAGCCGATATTGGCTATCTTCTAAATAATGTTAAATTGTAGTAGCAAAAGTTTTAGTATTGCAACAATTTTATTGCAAAATTTGAAAATTTTCATAAATAAAAAAGCAAATTTATACTTCTACATGTTGATGAACAACAGAAAGTAAAAAAGACCTATACAAATTTATAGTAACTTGTTACTAACTGGAAAAATTTTCTATCACTATGAAAGTATTAACAACATTAACAACAATTTTCTTTTTTAAGCTTATACATATTTAATTATATAGTTACTTTAACAAATGTGACTGGTCTATGTTTTCTTTTTTCGGGATGTTCCATTAACTTCTGATGTAGCAGTTGCTGTTTGCTGCTGTTTCTTCGCAGGTGGAGCTGAGATCCATTCTTCTGAACTACAAACACACACACACACACACACACACACACACCATTTTAGAAATGCGTAATTCAAATACGGCTAAAAGTGCATTCTATAGTTAATGTTTGCTATGGTGGGGGTGGTGTCTGTTATTTAAGTCCTTGCTTTCCTTTGATGTTACCAAGTTCCATGCCCTTCACAATGCCCATTTTACCAGTTGGGATGGCAACTGGTAGCTCAGCTGGGAGTTGGAGGAGGCAATCATTCAAGCACAGGTTAAGTGCTTGTTCTGGCTGGGATGAAACCTGGGGGAGATGTTCCTCCAGGATCTGGCTGAGTTGCAAGCCAGCTTTGCTCCTTTCCCAACTGAAAGAGGTGAGGGGAGTGAAGCAGCCTCAGCTGTAGCCTTAAAAGGACTCAAGTTTGTGACTAAGTTCCTAACTGGCTTCAGTCCCCTTCTTCAGTTGTGTTATCAATTATTCCCAGAGAACTGTGCATAGGATTACAGCCTCTGTTCCAACCTTCTACAACCTGGAGCCATGCAGATGTTTGGCATTACAGTTCTCAACATCTCCAAGAAGCTGCTTAGGGGATGCTGGAAATTACAGTCAGATACATCTGGAGGGCATCAGGTTGCACAAGTCTGCATTATTCTATAGCTACTAATGGAACAAGAAAATTGCAATGGACATTAGTACAATTGTTTTCAAATGGATTTATAAGAAATGAATTAAATTTTATTATAAAGGATAACACACTGAATGGAAAATAATACTTCCAAGGCTAGAGAACATGTAGATTCACAGAATACTTTAGGAAATATTTGTACCCTTTCTAATTTTAAAAGGTAGGTTGCCTAATGAGGAAAGACAGGGCTGCTGAATCCTAAATAAACAAGAACAAACAAAGCAAGGGATCAAGGACCCAGGCCTATGCTTTATTGAAACTGGTTTGTAGAATTGCTCCTAAGTATCCAAACACTGGGAGTTGGGGGAAATGTCGCACTGGCATAGCAATACCCTGGGAGGTTCATGTGCCCTGCCTTAGGAAATCCAGGACAGACAAATACGGCCACATTCTAGAAACTGTCAAGTCCACTACAGAGGTTGCAAAGACAAACATCCCAGAGAAGTCCAGGCAAGGATCACTTTAATGTATAGGAGATGCAACTCATCCATCTCTTCCCCTAAATCTTTCAATAAAAGAGATGAGTTTAAAGAGCACTCTTACAACTAGATGGTGACTTATAACAGTAACAGCAAACTCAGTAACACTAACAGTGAACACAATCTTGCTTGTTTATGAGTAGAAAAAGGTTCCTCTTCCTTTTAGTAAAAGTAATGGCCAGATGCAAAAAAGGCAGGGCTAATGCATGACAAGCTACACCTGCTCAAATTCCCTGTTCTGTATAAATAATTTATGAAACCTAAACTTGATCATCTTTTTCATTTAGCCACCCAAGGAAGGTACTTGGAAGAATGTAAGGCATCTTGGGGCATTATATCATCTAAGTGATGTTATTGGTCTATTTGTTAGTCACAAGGTTTATGGTGGGGACTTTATCTAGTCCTGAGATAAAATAACCAAGAATCAATTTCAGGACTTTGCTTGCTAAGCCTGTGTTAATTTAGTGGTGTAGAGTACTTTCTGAAATAAGCTAGGTAACTGGAATCCCTGCACAGAGTTGGGATAGTACAGAAAAGCATTTGTTGTGTGCTCTACCACTGGGATGCTACAAAGGTTCCACCATGGCTTTCCATCAGGTCCTGTCATCCTGTAGAGTCCTAGGTTTGCTGTTTTTCCCCCATGTAATATAATTATCACAGGGCCCACTTCCATGACTTTTCCTCACTACCAGAAAGCTCAGTATTTCCTTACACAAGGTTCCTATTCCAGTTTAAATCTTCCTGTTCCCCTTTTTGCTAAAAGTATGTTCCCAATGTATAGACAGTGTGTGAAGTGTTGTTAGCATTGCTTGGTGCAGTCACTCACATTCCATTGGGATGCAATTCCTTCTTCTTGGTAGCCTTTGAGTCTACCTGCCAATCTCCTGGCTACTGATCTAACAGACTAATGGAACACTATTGTTTTATTTCTGGAAATCTATGTATATACTGGTTAGAGTGAGGACATCATGGTGCTCCCATTATCACCACGACATCATGAGTTAACCATGCATGGTAGATATTCAAACTCAGACTGTTTGCTGTAGGGTGGGTTATTTTAGGTTAACAAGCCATACTGACAGTCCTGGGCTTGTGTTGGATCCATGGTGACTGTCATGTTGTCTGAACCTGGCACTGATCCCACCATGGGTGGCAGGAAGTGGTGAGTGTGCTGCTTGCTAAAAATGGCAAGACCTCCTTGCTGCTTTTGGTGAACTGAGAGCAGCAGCTCTGCCACAGATGCCCAAGTGATACTCTGGCTGGTCTGACACTTTTGCTAATTTTCTAATTTCTGACCACATTTTCTAATTTTTGTTTGGCACCTCAATTACACTGTTACCATTTGACAGCTGTTAACTAATAGGGTAACAGACAACGCAAGACTGCATACACTGGAAAAATGAAGGAACACACCTGTATACTAAAGAAAGACTAAAAAATATTTAAGTCATTTGTGCATATTTCAGAGGCCAAAAAGAAAAAGAAAAAAAGAAATAAACATGGTAACAAATGTGGGTACAGAAAGGCTGCATAACATGCTTCAGATCAGGGAAGTGAGAAAAAAGAGCTATGTGCAAATGCAAAGTAGAGATAAGCAAATCATCAATTTCCAAGGTTGTTTAGACTGTTGCTGTTGCTGGGACAGGTGGAGGTCACAATACAAGGTAGCAGTCAAAAGAACAAGAGTGGGAAGACTTCAGCCTTAGGATTTATAGGGTCTGGTGTGATGAAATAGGAGAGACAGCTGACTTTGTAAGGTTGGAACTGCAGCCTAGAAGGCATATTTTCTCTGTTGCCCTAACCTGCCTGAACTCCTGAAGATCCAGAATATTGGAAGAGCAGGAGGGAATGCACTAGAGACCAGCCACTGGAAGCTATGGTTTAAAATTCCCAAGTTTTTATCTAATAGAAAGGTAACAATCAATACAGTGCCCAGTCCATACAGGTTTAACATAAATTTAAGAAATAATATATGCAGATTATTCAGTATTTCAATATTTAGATAGATACTGCATAAGGACATGTATTGTACATGAATCAACAGAAAGCACTCCAAAATGGAAAATAATTGTACTTCAGTATAAATGTGATAAACAAACCTGTAAGAGCGTTTTGTTATTTCTCTCCGCATTCTTTTTGGAGGATTTGGCATGTCAAATAAATCAAGTTCTTCTGGCTGGTTTGATGATTTGGTGCATTGGCCTGATGAGCTTATACCTATAAAGATTTTAAAAGGAGGTTATTTTCATATTGGGTATACATTAGATTTTGTAACATCATTATTCAACATATAGTCCTATGTACTTCATTAGCAGCTATAGTTTATTATTTTCAACAAATAATCTTTTGAGAAAAGATCAGTATTTTCTTCACTTGTGAAAGAGTCCTGTGTTGGTGAACTTGGGCTTGGAGGATGTGTACTACAGAAAGCACCTGCTCAGATACCAATCCCTGCCACCCTTCCCTTAGTCTGGACCAGGCGTAGACAATGTGCGGTCCTCCAGCAGCACCAACACCAGGTATTTGAGGGTCTTAGAGCAAGATCATGCCTACCTTCCACACGGAATCTATCTTCTTACTGCCATTGTCACCAGCTGCTTTTGCTCCACTTTTGTGCCCAGGCAATTTTTATCTAGGTCACTATGTGTGTACCTTTTGGTTTATTTTTTTCTCAAAATAACTAAGAATTCTATATTCAACTGCACAATTAAAATTAGAATAAGTTTGTGAAATGAATTCTAAGCATTCTACAGTTAATTTCTACTTTAATATAATCAAAATAAACATATTCTAATTTGCTTCCATGAAATAAAAGTAATACATATCATACCTAATTGTTGCTCTATTAACTTGAGATTCTTTTCATGCTCAGCAAGCTCTTCTTTCCTTTTTTGCATTTCTGGAGTATTAACTGAATGCTCTTGAACTTTAAGTTCTGTCTTTATGTGATTAAGTCTGACAACAGAGGCATGGTACTGATGAAGGAGATCTATAAGTAAAAAGATTAGCAGGTAGTAAGGCTTGAGATTTCAATCTATAAACCACTTCTGTTCCAGAACAAATGATTCAGGAACAGCAGCAATAATTATTAGAGATAGTAAAGCAGGGAGAGGGAACCTCTAGCCTAAAGTATAAATTCAGCCCACCATGCTGGCTTATACAGACTTGAGGCCCCTCCCTCAAGCTGTTCCCTCAGAAAATGAGAAGAGGTGGGAGACCAACTAAGCAGCACTCCTTGAGGCTTCGGCTAAGTCTGAAACAGTGAGCAAAGCAGTCCCTGGAATGAAGTGGTAGCACTTTCAGCTCCTTCAGGTAACAGCAGGGTCCCTCCACACAGAAGAGTAACACAGCAGGCTTGGGGATCTGCCAGCAACCAGAGGAGCTGTCCTCTGAATGCTGACCAAGTCTCTGCCTATTGTCTTGACAAGGATGGCAACAAAGCAACTGTCTACCAATTGTTGGTCAAGTATCTTCTTGGATGATGAAACAAGAAGGGATGGCACATATGGAACCACCAATGGAACATAATAAAAGGCTTTCCAGAGGAACCTAAAACTTTTTACTCTGTTATTGGTTCTTTTGAATATCTTCACCTGTCACTCACCACCATTTTAAATAATGATGGCAGACTGTGGGCAAAGTCAGTGCGCAACTCAGCTGCAGCTTGAAGGTCTGCTTTACAAATATCAGTTCAGTATCTTTCTTTGTACAGAAAAAGGGTTATTTCTGTGCCATTCCCTGTTTGAAGAAAGAGAAGATGGGGCTGGGTAACATCAGAGGATAAAGCTTTGGGTAGAGGGAACCCCTAGCTGAAGCCAACTGGTTCCACATCCTTTCAGTAAAGCTATTAAATTGTGTTGTTATAGAAATGGTTATTAATACAGTTGATTTCATAAATAATTAAAAAAATCCTAAATGAATGCCATCCTATTTTATCAAATGTCAAGGCCCTGAGGTTAGTCCTAGATTAGAAAATTAACTCATTATAGATCCCAGAGTAGCTAATAATAAAGGCTGATACACATTATTGTCAGCACTCCATCTCTGAAACAGTATTTTGCCATTTTTATTTTCTGCCAAAATAAGTACAAACCCAAAAAGTTCAGATATTGTTCGTATATATTTAGGATTAAATAAACATCCAAATAATCAAAACAATATGAAACCAATATCCTAGTATTCTTTATGTAATCAAGCCCAAGATGAGATTTTATCCTGCAAAAACCTTGCTTCAAACAGAATTTTATGTGAGGTCTTGATATTATCTTCCATTTGTAACCCTTGCACAGTTTTCCACAATTTTTCTTGCAAACATAATTTAAAAAAAAGGATAAAATGGCAGAATAGCCCCATGGCACCTTTTGATTTGTAGTTTTGCTAGGAGTCTTCCACATGGCAGACCAGAAGACCTGTAAACCCTTTTTAAGGAAGAAGTGATGACATTTCCAGTAGGCTGAATGATTTTCCCTTTATTGAAGCGCAGCAGCACAAACCCAAGGCAATGTCAAAAATCTAGAAATATCTATTACTATTCAACACTTCACTGTTTCAATATGAAACACTTCTTTATTAATAGTAGCACAGCCGCAGCAGTATGGGGGGGGGGTTCATTTATTGTGCAATACAATGGTCATTTGATGGCCATAGGAAAATACAGTCTGTTCTGACCTTGGATAAGTGCTCTGTGATAGGAGCTGGAGCTCTGAATTGGGAGCCAGTGGCTGCTGCTCTGAAGTTGCAAGTATGACTCTGGAATTGGTGCTGGGAAAAGGAGGCAGGGTGTTCCAAGGAACAGCAAAGCTCCACTGGGGTACAAGAGATCATGGGGGTGTCTCAGTCCCTCCTCCTTGTAAGCGGAGATGAAATATTTAGATGAATTTCTTGCCTCCACGTGTATCTTGCCCTCAGAGTTCAGAGGGCTATGAGCAGCCACAGTAGATGGTGCTCCAGTTAATAATATGAGATGACCTGGAGAATTACTTAGAATTGGTAGATACAGCAAAAGCCTGAAAAAAATGCTGTAAAAGATGCTATTTTAAGTTAATTTTAACTCCTGTTAATGTTTTTATCTAGTATACTGTATTTTTTTTATACTTTGTTGTAGACTACCCAGAGGACAATCCAAGGAGGAGGAGGAGGATGCTTTGAACACACCTAGCTGCGTAGAGAGAACATAATAACGTTGTGGCAAAGGTGCTCCAAAAACCATTCCTCTAAGTTTATCCATCGGAGGGGCTTTGTTCTGAAGGCCTCCAAACTTTCCATTGCTGCGGATTCTGTCTCCTTCTCGCGTCAGTAAAGTCGGGCAGTGTGTGATTTTTACAATCTGTGTAAATGGATGCAAAATTTATTAATAAATCCAGGGAAGGTGCCAATTTAGATATCCATACAGGTTCCTTAGGTATCCTTACTTGGCTAAAAAGTATTTGCCTAAGGTTATAGCTAAAATTAGTTACTGACAGTTCCAAGCACCCTCAAAAAAAGAATAATGCTAAGTTTAACAGTGACACAACATCATTTGAAAACTTAGTGGCCTAGCTCTCAGAAAAACAGGTTAAGTTTGCAGATCATGCTAAGCCACACTGATAATTGAGGTAGGTTGGCTGTTTGAAGAATACCACATGGTGCCTCAAACAGATGCTCTGGCTTTGACTGTGGGTGTTCTGCCAGAAAAAAGTCTTTCGAAGCACCTAAGTGGCATACTGGAGGGCCTGCTGCTGGTTGGCTATCTTTTTTTAAAGCATCCTAAGTGGGAATTTTTCCCACTAATATTTTACTTCTATAGTTGAACTTGCACAAGTGCAGACATGAGCACTTTTGCCAGTCCAAGAAAGAATCCTCTGCAGGGCAATTTATTGCGGGAAGCACATACTTGTTGTCAAAGTGCAGTTTGTACCAACCCTAAACATTGATTCAGAGAGGCTCCAGGAAGGTTTTCTTCCTCCTGTGCTTTCTCCGGACAGTTGCCAAAAAGCAAGTCTGTCAAAGGAAAGGCACATTTGTACAGCTGTAAAGCAACATTGTATGAGTTACAACACATACCTCTTTTCTGTAATGATTGGCAGCATCCAAATTGTCAATAATAATTGTATCGCCTAAGAGCAACCCAAACACTAAAAAGTTAAATGAAAAAGAGATCCTTCATTACAATATTCAAAATATTAGTATGATGCAAACTATTGTTGCCTTTACATCAATTAGGCTAAATATCAGCATTTGAATACAATGGTAAAATCTCAGCATAGCAGTTTAATAAAAGTTTTAAATTCTAAATTAGATTGGGCAGTATTGCAAATAAAGCAACAAAGAAAAAAAATTGCTATAAGCATAACTACTCCTGAATCTGCCATAGTTTCCTATTTAAAAAGATACTGAAAGAATCCTGAGGTTTAACAAATCTCTGCTCAGATATGAAATTCACAAAGTTGCCCTTCAGCCAGTCACCATTCTTTTAGGCTAACCTACTTAAACAAAGCTGTTTGCGTAAAGTAAGGAGAGTAACATACACAACTTTGAATTCCATAGAGCAAAAGTAGGATAACAATCAAGTAAATATATTTTGCTTAAATAAACACAGAACTCAAAAACAACATTTGAAACAATATCTTGATTTGTTCTCAGCTATGTGAATAGCATAAGGGAGGGGAAAAGGGAGGAAGAACCTTAAGAAAAAGAACCTTTTTTGGCTCCAAGTAGCTTGGAAAGCTCTGCCACAGGCTAACTTACCAAGATGGCCAAGGATGTTTCTTTTTATTTCTCATTGCATGACAGAACTTTACTTCCCCTCCCCCTACCACACACACACACACACACACACACACACACACCCCTACGACTGAGCTTATTCATGCATGGTAAAATTTGCTCTTTCTTTCCATGACATTTACCTGTTTGGCAGTCCTCTACATGTTCTGGAAATGTTAGCAAACTCCTGGCAAATAAAGGATTTCCAATAGGCTTGAAACAGTTTTTTCCATTTCGTAAGTGAGGTAAAGGCCTGCTTAGAAATAAGACCAAAATATCACTTTCTTTCCCCATAATCTTTGACAGCTAAATAAAAAACTGTAAATGATATCTGTACAGTATCTGAATATTCTGTTGAGTTTCCATGACCAATGACTATCACAAGGTAGAGCAGATGGGCCACCATTATAAGGAAAAATTGATTCTATGAAAAACAGTATTACCATCAGGGATACAATCCGCCCCAAACAGTTCTTGACCAACTCACAGTCTTTTGAGTAAAACATGTGAAGGAAAAGTTCTATATGTTTTTAAAGGTTCTTTATGATCAGTGTTATGATGACAACAACATATACGTGGCAGGTTTATTAAAACTGAGAATTTGGCTTTCAAAATGCATATATAATATAAATGTCATGTAATTCTGTTTATATGAGACAACTTACTTTTAAAAGACAAAGTTGAAATTGACACATTTTAGAATGTTGAAAATATATATAAAAATTCTAGTTATAATTTCTACATTATAAAAATGTAAACACTAAAAAACATAATGAAATTTGGTATTCAAAGCAAGAAATATGGTGTGATTAGGTAGTTTAATTGGGACTGAGCCAAATTTCCTTGAATCTGTATTTTAAACTGAAAGGTGACATTTTAGGCAGCATTAATTGCCTAGGTGTTAGAACACACATTTTGCTTTGAAATTAGAATTTACCTCCCTCTCTTCACCAAATATTTGCACAGAGAAAAGGATAAATCCTACTGCTTTCCATATACCACCATGTTAAGGGAGGGGAATAAGGGAGGCAGCAATGCAATATTTAGGTCATGATCTCTTTTCTTGCTTGCCAAGAAACAGAATGGATTGCAAGTTTGCATAAGAATGCAAAGATATTTTGACTATCCTAAATATTGCTAAAAGAAGGAGAAAAAACATGTAAAGAGGATGCCATGCTGGTTCAGATCTAGATTTAAGCAACAAAAATAAAATAGAGATATTCATATTTTAAAATGGAACAACCAAAAAAACACAACAGTGAAAAGACACCCAGGGACGACTACAAAACAACTCATGGGTTATACCTCCTTAAAGTCTTTCTCCTTAAGTACTTTTCTTCTACCTGATTATAATTACAGTGATCTACCAAACTGTACTGACAACAGTACTGACTGGGAAAACAGTCAATCCAATCTTAGCCTTCAGGCTAAGATGAAGTATGTAGACTGGAAATTTGGATTCTACATATCTTAGTCACAGGAAAGCAGAGGACTCTACATTTCCCCCCACAAATACACTTCCTGTATTATTTGGGCAAGTCCATAGGAAAATAGTTAAGTACAAGAAAATGTTCAAAGCTCAAGTTTTACTGAAATCAATAGGGTTTATTTCATAGTAAATGCATTAAAATCATGACCAACATCTTTTTTAAAAGAGAAACTAAAAATATTAGAAATATAAGCATTTGAAAAACACAGGTTATTTCAATTAGGAAAGAACACAAAAAACTATACCTGTTCCAGTCTGGAAGAGTCTTCTTATAAACAGAATCAAGAGGCAATACCTGCTGCCGGCCTTGGGTTTCATCAAAAATACGACGAGCAGCAGCAGTTGTCAGAGTGACTACACAGTCCATATCACTTGCCAAATGCCAAGATATGACCTTTGCAACTTCATTATCTTCAATCTGTGCTAAGTGTGAAATCTGGTACAAAATTTAATCAACCATTTTGAGAGGGTAAGTTTTCTGCAGGACTAGTACAAGCTCTCTTGCCTGAAGTGAGATAGCATAAATGAACCACTGTAGTATCAACCCTCTTTGCTACTACCATCGCCCATCATCCCAACCCCTCTGCAGATTCACTGTATCAATCTCCTGCCTCCTTGTCCTCTGGCATTCCCTTTCCTTTGGTTCACTCCTGTACAAGTTGTGTCAGCTCATACAAGCAGCCAGGGAACTGGTCAGGTTCAAATGCCTGACTCCGAGAGAGTCCAGAAGGGTTTTCCAAGCCACTAGAACTAATCAGGAGGCCAAGCCATCTTCTCTAGTCTTAAGGCATAACTGTTTTTGCTAGGTATCAAGCCTACAGAAAATAAGATAGTTTCCTCTGAAGATTTCTTTTTGTCATAGCCAAAAAAAGCAACACAAAAAGCTGCAAAGTACTTGTGGACATAGACACAGTTGTTCTGGCATTATCAATCTGTGCAACCTAACAAGACCATTTATGGAGGAAAATAGATTGCCTTCTTACAAGAGTTACTAGTTACCCTTGTAGAAGTGCCCTTCCCATCTCCTATAAGAGACAGATAAACATTATAATTCACTACTGCTTGTGATATTTAGCAAGTATTGCAAAAGATCCTCAAAATGATTACATTAAAAATTTGTGAACATTCATACAGATAAACAGTTGTCTTATTTAATTACAAATGAAGTGGTGGTATCATGGTAAGTCAAAGTAGGGAAGAAAAATATAAACAGAAAGGGGAACGAAGTGGGTAAATAAAAAAAAAAAATTGCCAGTATAGAATTAGGAATAGACTCACCTTGCCCAAAACGTCTTGATTACCTTTGTGATCATTGTTAAGTGTACATGTTCTTCTAGGTTGTTTCATTATTCCTTCCTGCTCAGTCCTCTTTTGTTTTATTAGAGAATCAACAAACTGCAGCTGAAAATTAAGATAGAATAATAGCAGTATTATTATTAGTTTTTACTGTGAACTTTGAAAAACAAAAGAAAGCCAAACAAATAAAATCCAAAGCAAAACAGCAAGAAATAAAGTATTTTCTTATGCAACATTTGAATGAATGTTATAATGGATTCATATGTACAATGTATCTCTATATATTTTGAGTACAGCAAATCTATTACTATTATGCATAGACTTCAACAAAGCTAGTATTTATTAAAGATATACACTTTGTAGAAATAAAACCAATATTAAAACCACAATTAATTCTTAAAATACAGGGAAAATAAAAAGGTTTTGGCCTGGCACCGAAATGAATCAAGAGTCGGTATCAGGTGCACCCCTCTGGAGAACAACTTCCAGAGCCGGGGTGCCACCATAGAAAAGGCCCTTCTCCAGATAGCCACTCTTTTGATATCCTTCAAAGAAGACTCTTGAAGGATCTCAGACAAGGATATTAGGGGGTGGGCAGATGTATATATAAGAAGTTTCTTCAGATACCCAGGCCCTAAACCATTTAGGGTTTTATACAATGTTATCACCTTAAATTGGGCCCAGACTTCTATTGGTAGCCAGTGCAGCCAATACAAGACTGGTGTTATATGAACATATCTACCAGTCTCTGTTAAAAGCCTGAGTGCTCTGTTCTGGACCAAATGAAGGATCTGGACCATCTTCAAGGGAGGGATCCTGCTTGAAGGATCTTGTAGATTTGCCACCGTGTGGGCAGAGTGCTGAACTGTATGGACAATTAGCCTGATCCAGCATGGCTTTTCTTAGGTTCCAAAAGTGAGTCACTAGACAAAACAAGTGTCACATGGAGAGCCTACCATGCAGCTGACATTTCAAGAAACTTCCATATTATAGTTTCTTAAAAAGTGAGCTTCTATTTGCAAATGAGAGACTATGCTACCCATTTGGACACATTGTAATAGCTGCTGTAGGAGACAGAATAAAAGGAAGAAGAGTAAACATTTTAACAATTGCTTTACATATCTGGGTACAATGGAAAGAAATGTATGCTCTGTTTTGATATAACTATTCTCATTAAGATAGTTGTTAAGATTCTTGACCATTATAAATAATAGAAAATGAAGAAGGCCATACAACATTAGTTTGAGGTATGCCAATCTGGTGCACTTTCAGTTCATTCTTCACTTGGGACTCTTTTGCTTCAGCTTCTTGAACTTGACCTAAAATGATGCATTTGAATTAGTAAAAATCACTTAAGCTGGACTGAAGTTGTTATTACTCAACTGTCACATAGCTATTACTCAAGGAAATTGTAAAAAGCCATCCTAGATCAAGCACAGGCAGACATTCTGTTGTAATTTCAAGCCCAATCTTTTTTTTTTTTTTTCCAATCCAGCTCACATTCAGTTAAAAATCATCAAATGATTCCAAGGCAAATTCACACCACTTAATTCCCTCACAGGAGCGAGTTGAAAGAAAGACCAGCAATAAAATACACAATAAACTGCCTGTCATTACCTTGATGGCAGCTGCACTTTTCCCCCATCAACTGTGGTCTATCAACATTTTACCTATGGTCCAATTCACACTAAACAGATATGTACATTACTGGATGAAGAACGTTACCATAGAAAGCTACCAAATCATTCCATTTTTGTAACATCAGATGGTGGTATGGCATTGACTACCACTGAGGCCTCCATTCAGTTTGAAACATGCACATTCTAACACTCAAATATGACATTTATCCATATAACTTTATTTATTTATTTATTTATTTATTTATTAAAACATTTTTATGCCGCCCCATTCGCCGAAGCCTCGGGGCGGCTTTAGTTAACTGAACTTGTTTTAATTTGGCTAATCCAAAACTATAGCTGAGCATTAGGAACAGCGGAACAGTGCTTGTAAGAATATAACACAACATTAAAGGAAAGGAAAGATATAAAAATAATCCTGTAAATTATAATCCATGCAAAACTACATTAAAATAAATATAGTATTCTTGCATTACTTACACCTTAATTCAGCGAGAAGCTGATTACTGGTGTCAAACATACTTCTGTACACTTGTACTGACTGGGCTAGTCTGTCTCTTTCTTTTGTAAGCATTGCCATCTGCTGTTGTCTCTTATAACCTAAAGAGAAAAAATAACACATTTTATAGTGTTCACCTACAGCCTTGTCCAAAGTATCAGAATGCATGAATTATGCATTCATAGTTAATCAAAAGAAAGTGCCCAAAAAAAGCTTTAAAACATGATGGAAAATTTTAGGAAATAAAACGTAAGAAACACTGAAACTCACCATTGTAAAACATAAAAGACAGATAATAAGGTTTCAAATGTCTTTTCAGAGTTGGTATAACTGGCTCAAACACAAGACTATATTCAGTACTATCTCTCCCTGGACTATTTTCTGCTAGCACAAGATCCTGAAAAAAACAAGATATATTTATCATCTGTATCATCTATCTGAAAATGTTTAACAAAAAACAAAAATATACAAAAAACCCTTAGTTATACCTTCATTCAATTTCCTAATAGAACTTTAAAATATTGCTTTAAAACTTCCTTTTTCCAAAGAAAAGAATGTTAACTGCCATTGATCTAATTTATCTTGCAATGTAATGTATTAAAAAGAAGCTTCCCCTTTCTAAGCAATTACATGTGTTAATTATATTTCCCACAATCATAATTAGACGATAATTAAGAAGTTATTTATACCTTGTTTGCTCTATTGGTAAGATTTTACCTATTTTTCATTATTCTTTATTCAAAAATACTACCAGAGCAACACTCAGAGAAGCTGAATGAATAACACATACTAAAGGAAACATTCAATTCCCAGTGTTGAGTTAAAATTACAACTGTTACCATGGAAGCAGGCAGTAGAACCCATGAGATTAGAGGTTTTCCTAAGGATCATGTCCAATAGTATCCAAAATGTACTAAATTATAAATAGTATAAAATAAAAAGAAAAGCAATAGAAGTGAAAATAAAATGCACAAATGATTATCATATTGAATGTATTACTTAGAAACTTAAATGTATTATTGTTAAAGAAAACTCACCTCAATTTCAACAATTCCTTTGTGAAAAGGAAACTCAACTGTACTTGTATTACCCTGAAACAGGGGGATTTCCATATCTTTCTCAATTGAACTTTTAATCTGAGCTATGATTTTTCCATCTAAATCATTACCAGTGCAGTTTTTGTATTCATCCTTAAATTAAGATGACAGACAAGTTAGATCTTGAACTAATTATTAAACATTATATATATCGAAAGGTTGGGACTAAACAGAGTATATGTGTAAATGTGTATGTGTGTGCATGTGTGCGTATCCCAATTTGTTAGCATATCTCTTTTCGGAAGTTCAAGGGTCTATTTTCTGCACATTGCACTGTGAAACATTGAGGGTGGGGAAAGGGCATGCTCTAGGGAATACTTCCATTTGAAAACTGTTTTGGTACTATCCTCAAACTGCAGTGTGAATTTGGTTGGAGGTTCAATTAAAGAGACATTCACAGGATCTGAGGAACCATCTTCTGAAAAACTTAATTCTGAGAAAAGTTCTGTGTGTCTTGGCAATAATAACATTAATTAACTTGAAAGATATGATTTGATTTTAGCTTGTCAAATATTCCAGCTTCACTGCTGTGAATGTGTCGAACAGTTTATTGCTTCCTTGCCAGCTTTTTTTTGTCGGGGGCGGAGTGGGGGTAATAATCAAAAGCTCCAGTACTGGAAAATTCTCAATCCATGTGAGGTGAAAAAAATTAACATGCTGTGATTAGATTGATTTGCTGCAATTTCTATTTGCCATGTTGCCATTTCTTTTTGTGGGTTAACTGAAGTAAAAGTGGTTACAAATGAGTATTTAAGTGTTGGGTTTAACAAAGAGCATATACAGTTAAAGATCACCACCATCATACAAACACAAGGCATTCCATGACTACTACAATCTCTTTCAAACAAAATGGTAGACATAATGGGGTCTCACAACAAAATTTTCTGTGTGCATTTCAAACCTCCTTCAGAATCTTAAAAAACTATTGTAGAAGTAGAATTGGGCCTGCATTTAAAATGTAATGCTAGAAATTACTGCCAAATCTTCAAGGAAATGATTGTGCCAATGATCACTTACAGTAACATGTCTTACATTCTAGGCAATTAAAAAAAACATTTAGCCAAGCAATCAGATGATACATGAGACATATTTCAAAAGACTACCTCTAACTGGTGAACACTTGCTTCCTAAAAGTACCAATGCTTCATTCATTCAACATATAGATACAGTTTATTAAAAATGAACTCCACTCAGTGGTATGTCACTTATTACATCCAATTCAACTTAATTACCATTATAATGAGGGTCAAATCCTTGACCAGGGTTCGACTGCCAACAGCCCGAACATTAGAAACTGCAGGAGTATTTGGTAAACTTCTTGGCATCAACTGTGCTGGTTTATTAGGCACCACTTCAATTATAACCTTAAGAAAAGACCACCACAATACACAAAAACTTAATTTACAGTCTGGAAAAGTATCAACAACACTGAAATTTGTCTTGACACATAATAAATATAACTAGATTTAACTGCAGAATATTAATTCAAACATATTCTTCCAACTACTTGCTAATAGTTGGGCTCATGTTGCAACCCTTCAGGAAATTTCTACACCAGTATCACTGGAGGCCCCGATCACACAAAAGTGAAAACTGTACTTCAACAACAAACCTGAAATGGGTTAAACTGACATTTCTGCCTTTTTAGTTTAATCTGTCTTTGGTTAAAGATGATATGGTTTTTTAATTGTTTCTGCTTTGGTTATGTCACTCAAACACAGGAGACTTATCTTTTTGTGGGAAGTGGGCAATGCACCACTTGACAAGAGTGGCAAAACCTCTTTGCTACTCATGCCCTTATCACCAAGCAAGCCACCATAGACAGCACTTTGAAGCAATCATTACTGGCTTCTTATTCTTTTTCAGAAAATATTTTGGGAGGCTCAGCTATGAGCAATAATTGTTGTTGCCGTTTTTTAAATGGTTCTTTGTTTTGGTCTTTCAGATATGAACAGGTCTGTGCTTACAGATGCCTGAAATGTGGAGTCTTGTTAAGAGTCTACAATCAAAGTGCAGCAAGTAAAATCTATGGGTATTGACCAAGCAAGCTTGCATATAGTTTACTTTCTGCACCCTTGACAGAAGTCAACTGGCAAGCTGTCAAGTGAAAATGGAGGCACTGAAGGTTTTTTGAACACCAGAGGAATGGTAGGTATATCTCCCCTTACCACTGTGAGCTTCTAGTTTTCAGTATTGCTCTAACAACTCCTGGTGCCCTCCACCATTTCCATACTTATCTAAGCCTCTAGATAATCCAGAAAGGGTAGCTTTCTTTCTAGTCCTGTGAACACTTACTTTTGAGGTGAAAAAGAAAAGCTTATTTAAAAAAAAAATCTACTTTTGAGCATTTTTGAGCTTTTTAAAAATAGGAAATACAAAGTTATGAAATCTGAACAGCCCACAGTAAACCTAGTAGACTGTTGGGCACATGATGGGTTGTTCCAGAACAACTTACATTATATAGCTTATTCACCAGAAGTTTGCTGTGTTGTGTGTATTCCAGTCTCTGGGTTGATTCTCCCTCAACAACCATGAGTTTGAGGTTTACATCTCATAATGAATAACTCAGATGTGGGGTGTTCCTGGATTGTACCAAGGAAAGTTTTGAGTGGATGTGAAGCAGTGCACTTACTTATCTATGGCCATGGGTTGTTACTGTGCACTAACTGAGTCACATTGGTTTTGTTGTTAAATCTTTTTCTTGCCTTGATTGTAACCCTGCCTTTTATATTCTGAGAAGATGCACAGAAATGCTTAAATATATAAAATTCTGGATTTGTGTTCTTACTTCAGGAGAAGGGATTTTTAAGGGCCACAGCAAGGAAGGATCAAATTGCCCTGATCTGAAGCGCTTAATAATCAGCTACATGTTGCTGAATTTCCATTTTTAAATGCAGAAGGCCAAGATACATTTTACATTGTGTATAGTTTGGTCCTCAAATACTAATTTTGCCTAGCCAGTTCACATATTCATAAACATGGAAGTTATATTTTAAAATGTAATTATGTAACAAATTTATACCCTGCTTTTGTACATACCTCAAGACGGTTAATAAAACTACAACTATAACAAAAACAGCAGAGAAAAACAAACAAACAGTAAGAATAACAGTATTAAGACAATAAATAATAACTATCCAAATTAATAGGAGCTCCAGATAGTACCAAAAAAATCCAACGCCATTAAAAGATCCAGAAGAGAGGATGGACTTTTATCTAATTCCTACAAAGATAGTAATGAAGGTACTGGAAATCTGCTTTATACTGAACCAGTCCATTCATCCATCTAACTTAGTATTCTCTAAAGTAGGAGCTGGCAACTTTTACCCCTAGAAAAGTTCTGGGACCACCCATCCACTGCTGCTAGAAGTGATTGTGGCCAGTGAAATCTCAGTGATTTTCCTGGGAAAGAGGATGCATGTGCCTTGTTTCACAGAGAAATAACTCTCTGAACAGCTCTCTAATACATTAAAAACCCATCTGACTAGCTGTTTGGTGGACTGCTGGGGACCCATCCTGGCAAAGAAATAGGATGTGCAAGGGGAAGCATCCCCGTGAACCCTGATTCTCAGTGGATATCTTTTTCCCTAGCAGAATTGTCCTATAAGCTGTTTGGTGGGTTGTGGAGAGCCCCATTCTGTTGGCAACTAGTTATGTCTGCCTTGTTTTCTGGCAGAATCTCTGGTTGATAGGAACATCAACAGAAGGAAAATGGCCATAGCAGGCTACATGTAGCCCATGTCCAACCCTTCTATACACTGGCAGGAACAGCATTATAGGATTTCAGACAGGAGTCTTATCCAGCAGTACCTTGAGCTGGCAAGAATTTAACTCAGGACATTTTGTTTCTAAATCTTGTGTTTCACTATTGAATGACATGATTCACTTCATGATTCCCTCCAGTACCTTCCTGACTAAACTCAGAAAGGTGGGGAACTGGAGAAGGGATTATGAAGAACTTAACTGAAGGGCAACTTTGTGTGAGAAAAGGCACTCTTTCAAAAGAACAAAAAATGTTTCCAAGTTTCTACTAGTGAACAGGCTTCATTTGAACAGCCTTCTCAAACATATCAACATAAATTAGCTTGTAACTGATTCAGAACTTATCAGAGAAGTGGTAAAAACAATATCTATAGCATACTATTTACACACATTCCTTTAGATATTTTATTTCAAAAGCAAACCTGGTCGCTGTTAAGAATATTTATTTTGTCAATGGCAAACGCAAACTGGATGGTGTACATGCCCACTTTCTCTGGAACCATTATATCCCTAAATTACAAATACTTAATTTTAGTAATAAATTAAAACTTATACAAATTATATTCTCTATTAAATGAGGAAGCATTGTATGAGTTGGGCCCAAATATATTCTCCTTCCAGCAGAAGGAGCTACTCTATCAGAAGAAGAGTATCTTTGTGTCAACCCAAAATTTCTTGCAAGTTACTTTCCCTTCATATCACTTATTCATATGATTAAAAGCAACAAATTTCATTTTAGTGTATGAAAGCTACAATGCTCCATCATATGCTTCAACAACATGTTTAGTTAAACATACCCAACCCCTTCAACTTAGCCTTCCATAAGTTATGTTTCAAATGCTTTATGAACTTGGTCACCTATAAATTAATTCCTAATTTATATTTTAATGTAACAGTCACAATGAATGACACACTAGCCTAGACAAAGGCACTCTGCTGATATTTTAGCAGTAGAAGGAATTCCTACACTGCTCTAGCACAAGTGACTACCAATTGTGTACCACCAATGGCTTTTCCTGGCTTGACGGATTTTGGAAACCTTGTTATGCAAGCAAATGCTACTGGCATTGCAATATACTTTGCTGATGCCCAGCACAGTGTAATTTATGCCAGCAATAGTGACACACTGGAAACCACTGCCCGAAATATCCTGGATTAGATATTTTGATTAGAACCACTTCAGAAAAGTTTTACTTATAATATTATTGCCTGATATTGAGTTTGTGGTCCGGCCTCCTTTAATTACCCCATACTATGTGCTTCTAAAAAGCAAAGTTAAAAACTCCAAGAACAATTTTAGCTCAGGAAAGCATTTGCATGGTCAGAAATAAAATTGTCTATTTACCCTACAAATTTATTTCTCTTCTAATAATAATGTATTAAAAACTGTGTTAGAATGATTATAATACAAAAGAATTTGTTTACCTGAAGTAAAAAAATCCCTCATCCTTGTCATCTTTTGTTTTGGTACAGCCAAATGTTGTAACCTGGGAGAAAACAAATAGAAAGGTAAACACTTTAAAATCACTTAATTAAATTTTATCACTTTGACATAAATAAAACCCAAACAACTTCTGCCAGTTTCTCTTTATATACTTAACTTTTATGCCACAATAAAAATAGTTTGCACCTTCACAGTATTAAGTACTTTCTATACAGCAAGCAGTAATGATGTCGCTTAAATCTATTTCAGTTTTAGGTTGTAACACAACAAAATGTGGAAAAGTTAGAGGTGGGCAACAACCTTTGCAAGGCACAGTATCAGCCTAAGCTGAAAGGCAGTCTGAGCCTATGGCTTAGTTTATACATACTGCAAACCCAGGATTTATTTAACTCATGTTTTAAACATGTTTTTTGCCTTACACAGCATTTGTCTGGCAGAAGACTGAATGCAATATTGTCTGTTTCTCAGTTCCCTATAGCATCTAACTCAGAAGTCCATCCAGAAGAATATAATTAATATTATCAAAAGCAGCTAAGAGTCTAAACAGAATCAAGGAGATCCTATCCCTTGTCTCTTTCTCAGTACACATCATCCCACCCAGCAACCAAGGCAGTTTCTGTTTCAAACAGAGTCTGAAGCTTGACTGAAATTGATCTAGAAAATCAATTTCATCCTAGAATGCTTTGAGTTGGCTGACAACCACCTACTTGAGCACTTTGCCCTAGAAAGACATGCTAGCACCCATTATAGTTGTTTACATTTTCTGGGTACAGATTAAACTTCTTCAGAAGCAATCTATTAATGGAATCTCCCAAAAAGAGGCTGAAAATGCCCCCACTCCCCCGGACACCTCAACGAAATATTTACAGCACTGTCACCAGCTAAATTTGTCCTTTCGAGAAGATATAAGCCAAGGAAGGCATACAGGTGGTTGGATGAACTTGGCAAAATATATATTCCACATTTTCATATTTCAAGAACTGGACATAACCCAATAAAATTGGAGCTCTGGATTCCTGCACCAATGGGACTCTAAGCCATGATAGATAATGGGCAACAGTATTATCAAAGAGTCTTGCAAAATTTCTCACAGTGTACTACTACTGAGGGCTCACATTTCTAAAACATCACATTTCTAAAACAGACTGTGGGTTTTACAACAGTTGTTTAAACCTCATATAATCTATGATCAGTGGGTTCATACGACATGATAACCGGTTGCATAAGCAAAATAATGTCCTGGAGTCTTGTTGTGAGTTACCAAAAAGTAAACTAATCGACAATGAGCTACCTGGATTATCAATATATCACAGAATGGCCAGAGCTTCCTGAGGAATAAAAGGGAAATTCACTTGAAATGTTTCAAATGAGTGGCTAAATTATGTTATAGTTGACAAGTGGAGGCATAACTGAAGGGTTTCAATATGTCATCAGCAATATAGACTGGCTAGCCCATGACAAAATGTTTTTTTCTTTTTGAATAATTGCAATGAAATAAAGAAGATCGGTAAATCCCTCATAGTACATTTAAATAACTGTCATGAAGCAGTACTTAAAGGGATACTATGTCGTAGTTAGGTGCAAACAATGTGGTTCTACTCACTCACATACTGATGTTTCTTCTTACTTACATTTTGTGGTAGGGTTCCAGTACTGTGTCCTTCCCACATTTTCATAGAAATTCTTCCTGAATTTATATTTTTAATAATGTTGTCATCTTCAGAACAAACACTAATCATGAAATCTGTGGGAAGAAAAGAAAAGATGAAGTTATGACAAATTTCATTATATTTTTCAAAATGAAAACTTTCTAAGTAAAGTATTACCTAGGCAGACATGCAAATCAGAAATTCTAAGGAAGTTGAAAGCACTTCCTAAAATGACTAATTATCACACCATAAGTTACTCTATTAGCAAATACTAGCTACTTCATATTGGAAGCAGCAATTTAATGCTCAGTTTAAAAGCTTCAGCAATCAGAACAGTCTGAAACATTTAATGACATCACGGCAGCACTAGGTCAATGGTTATGTATGACTTCTAGAGAGATATATGATACCCAGTACTAAGCCAATTTTATGTTTCTCAGCCTTTCAGTTGTGTTTTTGGGAACATTATAATGTTCACAAGATAAGAGAAATATAGAAGGCAACCCCTAGTATGTAGTATTTTCACTACAGGCAATCATCTTGGATATGGGGAAAATGCAGCCCACATAAAGATGCACCAGGATATTATCCTTTCTATGATAAAGAAAAATGCTGATGGATAACACTCAAAAGATGACATCCTATAAAGATGAGATATTTAGCAGCAGTGCCATGATTCCCAAGGGGAGGAGCTATTTTCCACACTATCTGCTTGAATACCCTTTACTCAAACAATCCTCTGCTAAGAGACAGGTTATTAGTCCACTAATACTAGATACCAAAGCATTCTCTTGAAAAATAAATTCAGAGTTATAGAGCATGATACTAACACTCCAACAATCCAATAGTTACATTTAGAAAAAGAAAAATAATTACTGCATCAAAATGTCACAAATAATGACTCACCAGGAAAAATGCTTCCAGCTGCAAAGGCAACATTCTTGTCATACTTGACATTCACATGTACAGGTTTCTCAGGGTCAGGGAGAACATTTAATGTGATTACTGGACTGTATAGTGTATTCTTGTTGTATGAGGCTTTAAACTGCAACCCATGTTCTCCCCTAAAACATATAATATGTAGTTAAACCTCAATATCTTCTAAAAACTTCTAGCTAAATGGGAATATAAATTTTTTCCTTTACACTGATATCATGGATGGGGAACCTCTTTCAGTCTACAGACTGATTTAATTTCACAGGACTTCTTAGAAGTTGCATTTCAGTGGCTGGTTGGAATAAAAGAAAAAGGGGAGAGGCCAAAAATACAAAGAACACCAGCATAATATAGCTTAACATTCTTATGAATCCTTAAACTTTGAGAGGAATTTCAGAATCTTTGCTACAGTTACTCATGCTCTGATAACCTCTCATCTGGGTAATTCCAATCTTTCAAACCCCTAGCTTTGCAAATTAGTCTGGTGGCTACCGAAGAGGGTCTTCTCTGTGGTGGAATGCACATTATGAAATTCCCTCCCTCATGATTGGGTGCTACCATTACTATATTTTAGGCACCATGCATATCCATCTTGTTCTCTTAGGGTTTCAATGGCATCTGATCACCTTTTAAATTTAGGATGACTACAGTGATAAATAGTGCCATGGATTTCCTAAGTTGGAGATGACTTAATGGCACATAACATAATAGGAAAACTTTTGGTTTTGTTTTTATATACTGTTTCCCCCCCTTCCCATTTCTGTTTATTTTTGTCATGCATGACTTTCCTGGCCTTCTTGCAGTATACAGGAAGAGCAAGATAAAAATTTCCAAAATAAGAGCACTGCTAAGAATTAAAAAAAACTGTACAACATATTCTTGAGCAATATTTTTACTTACTTACCTAGGAGCATGAATACAAACATCTCCAAAATTTGCTCTACCATTTTCATCTGTTTTCTGGAGTGGGTTCAAAGGTATAAGCTGCCAAGAAAATTGATTTTTTTTCACCTTAATGGCAAAGCATTAATACTGTTGACCAAGCATATATTCCATTTGAGTTTACCAAGCATTTCTGAGTTTACCAAGTATTTCCTTTCCTGCATACTGCATATACTCATAACTGGCAAGAGTGCAACATTAGCCTGTTGCCTATCCTGGAACTGGAAAACATTAAGGAATATATGAGCAATGAACCTACATGCTTCCAACAAATTTTCGTTCATTTCTTGAAGCCAGACTGGTGGTCACTCCACTTAAAAATGCCATATATTTACAAGAAAGCCATACATGAGTTTACGTTGGACCAACTGGTTGGACTTGGCTCTTACACTGTCAACCTCCTGCCCCTTCTTTATGCTGGAAAAACTTGCCAGGTAATTTGTATCTTCTCAGTTTGTAACAATTATATTTGATTCATAGTACTATATTGCTGGCCATACACTCGAAGTTGAATTCTAAGGGCTTCTCTACATAAGACATTTATTGGGCTTGTGTGATAGAAGTATGCAGGGCCTTTTCATGATGCAGTCTTCCTCCAGAGCCCCTCCCATGTGTCAGCTTCTTTACTTTTCTCTTTTTATAATGAGGAAGATCTGAGATTAAATTTTAAACAGCAGTGAAATAGCAGAAAGATGACCCAAATCTGCTATAGTGCAGCTATATAACAGCACTACGTTGTGGTTGTTTAATGGCATATGCAGAAAAGCAAAGCAATGCAAGCCCTTGAAAAAAAACCATGTAAAGAACAACATTTTTCTCAAGAGACAAAAAAGGAAGATGTCTCAGCAAAGCACTGGAGTAAACCCTTCATGCTCAGAAGATCTAATCCATAAAATGATTTATTCTGATGATTGTCAGGATGCTGTTTGTCAAACATATTTTGATTTTTAAGTATCTTGTGAAATCATGTATGCTAGTTTCCAAAGTGTTTTAAAAAGTGAACTGTAACGAGAAGTAATAAATTCAAATTACCTTTACATTGCTAGGCTTTGAAAGGGTGATTTTGACATTAGGTTCAGAAGATGGGTTATTCCATTGATCACAGAGTTGGACTAGAAGGGGTTTCTGTAGTTCTTTGCCATTAATCACTGACACGGGCTAGAAATAGAAAAGTATTAGTATTAAAGTTATACATTGCATACTAGAAATTTGGGGTGAGCAAAATAATGCCCAGGAGGTTCCCTGCCCCTCCTGATGTTGTTTTATTAAATAAACTCTCAACAGCTAGGAAAGTGACATGCTGCAAAGAGATAGGCTGGCCTTCAGAACTATCTTTCTTTCCAAGAATCTAACTTGACCTTACTTGGGTAGCCAGAAAAAGGAAGAAAATAAGCTGGGAGAGTTAGGGAGCATCTTAGGGTTAGAAGAAATTATCAGGCATCTTTTTCTTATGCTGTGAGTCTATTTCTTTTTGTTTTGATATTACGTGAATTTTGCCATGTACATGTTTGCCATGTACATGCCTGGCTTTTTTGGTGGAGTGTTTTTGTCTAGTCCTTCTGTATGGTTGTGCGGGTTTCTTGGAGCAGCACTAGGTTACCTTCTGTGTTTTGTGGCAGCAAATATTTAGGTTCAGACCCTCTCTCTGCCTTGTTCTTAGTTGCCAGATCACTTGCTTCCACTTCGTTTCAGCTTGCCTTCCATGAAATGAATGTTGACAGAGAAACTGGTAAATTCAAAGGGTTCATTTTGTGTTTTGGAGCTAAGAGTCTGCCTCTGCCTTGTATTCAGGTTCTTAGGCAGCTGTTTTTAGCCTCACTGATTTTTATTCCTAAAAACGGGTGTTTTCCAACTGCCCAAGTCTCTCTATGGCAGCCAATTCTTAAAAATATTCTCGGGAGTCATTGAGTCCTCTTGAAAGACCAGAAGTGTACAAAAAGGTTAGAGACCTCTGTTGACAGGTTATTTTATTTTGTTGCCTTATGAAGAAGTAGTTATGAGGAAACAGTCTGCAAATTTCCTGATCCCAATTATGTCCATACAAGTATTATGTGACAATATTACCTTTAATGTTAGAGACCATGTCAATGTTTAAAAGTATATAATCCCAGCCAAACTTAAGAACTTAAATTTTCCCTTTTCATATTTCATAGAGTTACAGAAACAACTCTCAACCTGGCACTCTTTGATTAGTAGCATATGAAACTAACTTACTTTCTCTAACTCAGCCCAATCCACAAGTACCAATTTAGCTGGAAGTCCTGCAATCAAATGTAATCTCAAGAACTGAGAAAATTCACGCCAAGCAAAGCACAATTCCTTGATTCCAGGTGGACCTGTTTTAAACTTGATGCCGTTGACCCAAATGCTTTGTGTATCTTCCTATAAAGAAACACATAATAATGCAAAGAAAGAAAAAGATGAAGCATTTATTCGATGGTAAATGCATGAAAAGAATATTCATGAATCATGCATTTATCTTGAATGCAGTATTTGACTTACTGTACACATACAACTATGTGTGTTCACCATGCGGAATAAGCTAAGATCTAAACATCTGTACATTTTCATAAGAACTTTGGCTGGACATGCCCATAAATATAAATATAAATAAATAGTATAATCAATTTTATATAAATTTCAATTAAAATGCTTAGTTCTATTCCTTTTAACAAATCTAAGAAACCATAGTATTCCAAGAAAGATTTGAGAAATATATCTTTCACTTTCTTCTGGACAGTGATGTCTGCATCTTATTCTTGCAAATAAAGAATTTGCTTTTTACCTAGCTGTGATGCTGCTAACTCATTTCCTACAGCTTACTTCTCTGCAACTAAGCACACCCAGACTGGGAGGACAGGGAGCTCACTCTGCGGATGCCATCTGCAAATTCGACCATGCTTTCTGCAAAAGGATGACTTTTCTGAAAGATTTAGTATGCCCCCACTAGGAGCCAGAGGAAAAGTATGAATTTCAAATTGACAAAACCTTCTTTCATGTATTACTTTTATGAAAGCCTGTTAGAAGTGGCTACGTGACTTTTCATGGAGATTCCACAGCATCTGGAACTGTGGTTGATGAAAAGTGGTGATCAAAGACAACAACTGGCACAATTTAGCGACTATGACCATTAGAAGGGGGTATGTGGGGAAAAGGGGCAACAACAGTGGATGAGGGAGGCGGGATACAGTGGAGGTGACAGCTGGAGGCTGAAAAAAAGGAAGGATGCATGACAACAGCAAATGATCCACTGGCATAAGGAGCTGCACAACTTTCAATGAATGAATAAACCTTTAGCATTTCACAAAATACCAAGCATTACATGTAGTTAGTTGAAAAAGTATGATCCTAGGTTTTTAATCAAAGGTTGTAAAAAACTTTATAACATTTTATATTTGAAAGGAGGTCCAGATGACTTGACTTGACTTATAAACTTTATATTACCCATAAGGTGACTGGTTTCTGGGAAAGACATGCTTCTATTTAATTAATTTCTATACCATACAACAGCTGAAGCTCTCTGGGCAGTTCACAAAATAATTTGTCACAAAAGCAAATGTGATGGAAGATTAAGTTTTTAAAGAATGCCTATGTGTTTGAAAGTATTTAAGGCATTCCCTCTACCTCTGAATACATTATTCATGCTTTTATTAATGTTAATAAACCACCTAAAGGATAAAAGTACAAGTTTCTTCTTTATAGCTGGAGACATTACAAGAGATATTAGGAAATACCTGCCAAAGAATCTTCAAGTCTGACTTATCCAGGCCATTCCCAGAAATTCCCAATGAATTCACACAAGATGGTATAAGGTTCTGAATATGATTTCCATGCTGATCTGTAATAATTACCTCTTTAAAAAGATCAGAAATTATGAGAACATTGTGAAATGCATACTGTACTTGCTGAACAGAATAATATCTACAATGTTGAACAGATAATCTGATCATAAACTAAAAGCACTACATAGAATTTTAAATGGCGAGCCTGACATCATGCTTATACCTCTCATGTGCAATTAATTAGACGTCTACTCAAAATCAAGTCTCACTGAATTCAATGGATATTACTTTCAAGTAAGTAGGCAGATGACTACTTAATTATCAAAAGATGCTTACCCAATAGTAACAAAATTACCTTTATTTTAAGAAGACTAGAATCAAAACAAACAGGATCAGTAAGGAAAACATAACAAGAGTGATATATACCAGAATGTGTGACAGCACAGCCTTCTAAATATCCAATAGAAAAAGGACAAGGTATTACCAGTGATCAAAACAGCCTCTCTTCGGAAGCAAAAAGGCTTGTGCATATGGAACTGCTAACTCTTCCTTTCACATGGTACTCTACTCCTTTGCTTTATGCTTTGAACTCTGTAAATGTGTTCAGATAACATGCTTGCAGGAGCCAAACTGCATCAGTAACCCTGTTGTCATGTTTACAAACTCAGCAAGTGTGGGTTTCAAGAGGGTTCTCCCTGAAATAGACTGTGGGTTATGAGGGCTATTTAAGCCTTGTATAATGCACACTTGCCAAGTTTACAAGTGGAGTTTGCATATTAAAAATCGTGCCCATAAATCCCCAGCAGCCTCATCATGAGTTAAGATAACCCACTGTGGGTTGTTTGTTCTGCAAAGAGCCCCTGTGTGTGTGGAGGTAGCTATGCTGATCTTAGTAAACAATAAAAGAGAAAGGCTGTAATTCTATGCACATTTGGTTGGAAGCAAATTTTAGGGAACAAACTGGGACTCATTTATATAAACATGCACAGAAAAGGACTACACATCTTTGAGTGAGTTGTTATAGATATAAAAATACACTTAAGTGTCTAGGCACTGTAATTTCCTATATCGGTGCTGAACAACATGACTTAAAGTTCTAAACCAGTACATTATCTACTTGCAAACGTAACAAGCACTGCTGTGAAACAGTGAAGCTGTAGAAGCAACAGCAAGTAATGCCTTTTACACAAAGAAACTCATCCACTGATTGCATAGTACTTGGTGCAATGACATATATGTTTAGGGATGACTTTAAAAATGCAGCTGCCATCTGGATATACAATCCTGTTGTCTTTCCATACTCACCAAATTCTCAGTGAGTTTTGTCAATGCACACACTGTCATATTTAGGTCAGTGTTGTCATAACTACACCTTGCTTAGACATTAATTATATAGAACTGGATTTTCCCTTTCACCCTTTTGTTCTTTGGCAAAAGCGCTTTATTCTCCAATGTACATCCAAAAGCAAACAAAGAATCTCTGAGCATGTACAGAGAGGTTTGTTGAGCCCACACTAGAAACACCTATGAAAACCCTCCTTCTGAGTACCCCTGGGTCCCACCCCTCTGGAGGGCCCCTCTGGAGATAGGTCAGCTTCTTAGCTGTATATTGCCCCTTTAGGTGGCTAGCCCTTTCTCCTGACACCATGTCATGGAGCCAGCAATAGTACCAGACTCATCTGGCTCCTGTTTCACACCCCTGCCTGGCAGTTGCAGACTGTGGCTATTCTCAGGATGTGCCTAGGCTCCTGGAGAGTGTGGCCTTGAGATAAGGCCTTCTATCTCAAAATCTGGAGGTCCCATTTCCCAAGGCTCCTCTCCAGCCCATTCTGAATAATCTGAGTTTCCCTGGCCTTGAAACACACACCCAGAACAATTGCCTCTTTCATTCCCAACACTGATGAACTGGGAAAGACAACAGGATTGCTACCTTTCTAAGCACAGAGTACTGCATTAGTTTGCTACAAAGAACTTTGTATGTCAGGACAGCTACATATAATTGTTGGAATGTGCTGCTATTTTTTTTTAGATGTTAAGAATTACTAGTACTTACCAATGTCACTTTGTAATTTTTCACCCATATGTAACACATTGGATCCTTTTATTTGGCATTTAATACTTTTTGGCTCATCAGCAAGTGGTCTAAAACAAACAGTAACTACTTAATAGTGATTCACTTGAGCACACACCTCATTTAAAGATACACTTTCTTAAGATGGCAAACAGTTCTCTGTCCTTCATCAGCGCTGAACAAGGTGAACCTAACTGGGTTTTTAGTTATTTGCATATATGCTTTGCAGCCAATTATTTGTTCATCCACGTCTTGAATACAGGTAACTACACATGTAAATCAAATTCTTCTTTAGCATATATGGAATTCAAGCAACACTGATAGAGAAGGTGAAACACAAAGACTTCTTTTTATAGTTCATAAAGGTCTAACAGTTATTCCATGTGTCACCAGTAGATTATTCTATATGTCTCCTGGACTACACCTTGACACTGACTTGTTTCAAAACTGGCCATTTTGTATATTGTACACCTTTATACTGACTACATTTTTATGCCATGCTAAATGATAGCTTTGCAGGATGTAAACAGGCAGGAACAAGCCGCAGTGAGCCTTGGCCTTTTATGTTTTCCCCTTCTGTACAGTGAAGCACAGGCAACAGGGGGAGGACAGCATGGTAGCATGAAGCTTGCTGCAGCTAATCCCTTCACCTTCATGTCTGCAAAACTATGGTTTAGTGTGACTCAGTGCAGTCATTATGTTTTTACAGTGCACCTACTTTAAAGCTTTTAATCTGTAATATATAGCTAAATACGTATTGTTACTAACAACAATAATTGTGCTTCCAATAACCAACAGAAAAGGTCACAGAGCAAACTTCATAATGGAAGCTTGGTTAAAGAAAAAGTACAAACCTGACTGTAAATGCACTTTCCAAAGATACTTGATCATCATGGAATGTAACTAGACAATAGCGTACATCTTTTACAGATGTTGGTACTTTCACATCAGGTAATAATCCTTTAACCAACTCATCTCTGTTAATCTTTGGGGTCCAATTCACCTAAACCACAAAACTATTTTAATAATATGGCAGAGATAATTAAAATCATTTCCCTAAACAAACCAACCCTCAATGACTTTTTTTTGGACTCTTTAAATAAAGAAATTTAAAGATTGCTTTCAAAGTGCTTCCAGTTTAACACAAAAGCATTTTATTGGTATCAAAATTCAAGAGTACAGTAAATGTAAAAAATGTAAAAAAAATGTTTTAATCAGTTTTCATAGCAGAAGATGCAGAGCAGATACCTGTATTCTGGAAAGGAGTCTGAGGAATTAGGGAAGATACTGTAGTAGTGACAACAGATGAAATTCCCAACCTTATTGACAAACTTAAAGTCAGCAAGTTACCTAGTCCAGATGGTATGCATCCTAGAGATCTCAAAGAACTCAAAGATGACATTGCTGATGTTCTTACCAAAATATCACGGTTAGGATGCATGTAAATATCTTAGCCTAAAATTAGCCCTTGTACCAGAGGATTGAAGAATGGCCAATGTAACACCAATTTTTTTAAAAGGGATGCAGGGGATCCAGGAAATTACAGACCAGTTAGTTTTAAGTTCTGTTCTGGGTAAACTGCTTCAAACCATTATTAAATATTGAATCAGAAAGTGCACAGAACAAGCCCTGCTGAAAAAAAAAAAAATCAGCATGGCTTCCACAAAGCGAAATCTTGTCTCACCAACCTATTAGAGTTCTTTGAGATTATCCATAAGCATACAGACAGGGATGATCGAGCACATACTGCTAACTTGAACTTTCAAAAGTTTTTTTGAGAAACTTCCTCACGAAAAGCTCCTGAGCAAACTAAGCAGTCATGGCATAAAAGGGGGTGGGATCCTCTTATGGATCATCAACTGGTTAAAGAATAGATGATGAAGAATGGGAATAAACGGCAATTTCTTCCAATGGAAAGATGTAACAAATGGAGTCCCACAGGGTTTTGTATTGGGACCAATGTACTTATCCATAAATGATCTGGAATTAGGAGTGGGCAGTGAACTGGCCAAATTTGCTGATGACACCAAACTTTTTAGAGTGGTTAAAACTGAAAGGGATCGTGAGGAGCTGCAAAAGGATATTTCCAAGCTGGGAGAATGGGTATCAAAACAGTAAATGCAGTTCAATATAAATAAGTGTAGAGTAATGCGTGTTGGGGCAAAAAAAGCCCAATTTTCACTATTTGGCTGATGGGGTCTGAACTAGCAGTGACTGAGCAAGAAAGGGAGTGGTGGACAGCTTGACGAAAATGTTGGCCCAGTGCTCAGCTGCTGTGAAGGCAAACTCCATGCTAGGCAGAATTAGGAACAGAATAGAAAACAGAACTGTCAAAATGTTATTTCCTTTATACAAATTTTTGGTGCGACCACACTTAAAACATTGTGTTCCATACTTCGGACCAGCTTACCTGAAAAAGGACATTACTGGGTTTGAAAAAGTACAGACGTAGGCAAAAATGACTGGGGGGCTGGAGCAGCTCCCCTATGAGGAGTGGCTGAAATCACTGAGAATGTTCATGATGGACATATTTAAAATAATGAATGTTGAGAAGAACATAACACTCAAATCTGGGGTCATTCCATGAAGCTCATTGGTAGGAGGTTTAAGACAGTACTTCTTCACAGTTTTAAACTATAGAATTTGCTGCCAGAAGAAGTGTGCTGTCCACCCATCTGGACTGTTTTAAAAAGGGACTGGACACATTCATGAGGGAGGTGGCTATCAGCAACTACATCCTTGAGAGCTGACATGTCTGCACACATCAGTTTCTGAGGTGTGTGGGCAAGAGGAGGTCTTGGACACATCCTGTTTGAGGGATCCTGCGGGCAGCTGGTTTGCCACTGTGTGACCAAAGAGTTACGACTTTTGGTCTGATCCAGCATGGCTTTTATTATGAGCTTATGTTCATTTCTGAATCTAAGTTTGAATTTCCTTTAAATACCCACCTTAATTTTTTCAGCCAGAGCTGCAGTTATTATAATCTCTCTTTCTCCCTCATCATACATTTGGAAGATGAGATTTTGCATCACATCACCTGCAATCCAGTTAATTTCATCTTGGTGCTTTATCTGAATAGCTTTTTCTCCTCCGACACTAAAAATCTGTAGTTTTGCAACGCGACTACTGGGAAGCAATTTAATTGTCTTCTCCAGTGCTGGAACAGTTTTACAACTCTAATTGTGAAAAACAAGGGAAAGAACAAAAATAAACATTTCCTGTTATTACTTCTGCACAAATCTATTTACACCAATGTATTGCAAATCAAGTCTGATTGGGTAACCATGGCTTTATATTCATTACAAGTGGCTTTTTATTGACTGAAAAATCATGTACCAGAACCATGAAAGAGACTACAATTTCAATCAGACAACTGGGTACTCCTCTGCTTGGCAGTTTTCCATGTAAAACCTTTCAGATACTAAAAATGAAATATCATGGGTTTTTTTTAGTAAAACATAAAATGTGTGATATTGAAAACTCTTTTTAGAAAAACAGGAAGTCATATTTATAAAGGGGAACAGGACCATCAAATTCCAGATGTTATAAAGTTGAGGAATCTGTGGGAAGAACCATGTACTAGAAGCAAAAGAAGTAATTGTGTGTGCATGGGTGTTATGTGTTTGCTTTGCTGCCTCCATTAGTCAAGCTAAAACAGCCAAAACTAGGAATGTGTCCCTTGAATACTTGAACTCAACAGACTTTAAACATATTTCTGACTTGAGGACTAAAAGCAGACCAAGTTGGGTTTGTTCTGAAATTTAGCATCTGTAAAATTTCAAGAAATATTTGTGCAGATCTGGAACTGAAAACTCTGCTGCTCTAGTGCAATTTATGCCAACCAGGACTGACTTTGTTAGAGTCAAGTTGTTGTTGTAGCATTTAATGTGAGAAGCATTCTTCTCTCACTGTGAAGGCACATACTCCAACTTGGCTATTTGACTTTTCTGAAGGATAATTTCAGATTTGTGCAAAATTCAGGCCTCCACTTTGCAGTCTGCATCAACTTGCACAACTTGAGTAGAAGCATGAATTTTGCACAAATTTCTCCAGCTTAAAAAAAAAATCATGCAAATTCCAGCCCAGCTGTTCAGTGGCTCAGTTCACATTAGATGAAGTCAGCACCAGCATAGGATTGATAGACCAGGATCTGCAGGGTCAAGTTCAGTAAATCAGAATTATATAGTTTTCAGGAGCAAACGGATTATACAGTGGGATGTAAAACTGTGCAAAAGTACTAGAAGGACAAGGAACTCAGTAAGCCATTCCTAAAATATTAATACTTTAGGAAATATCAGTCACGCCTTCTCTGATAATAATAATTTTTGTTATTAAGCCTTTTCCCAAATAACAAAAATGCAGTTTTTTCAAGATTCCTAGCAACTTCTAGTTTTTCTATTACATTTGTCACAGTTTGCAATGTTCATAATTAGGGATGCACAAGGAATCCATTTTGCACGGAAAATCCATCGGATTCCCTGGTTTCAGCATCCTGGATTCTGTTCCACTTTGTAGCAGCCCAAAGTTCCTGGCAAGTTTGCCCAGTGTTTGTGAAGCACTTGTCAGGAATCGAGCCCAATGCACTGCATAAGCAGTACTATGCTTCCCCACCTGCCACTGCTGTTGACAGCAGCAAGTGGGGGAAAAGGTTGGAATGGTGGCTGGGAAGCCTGCTCAGTTTCCCTTCCCTTCACATCCTTCAGTCACTCTTGATGGGAAAGGTTGCCAGTCACACAATCAGGGGTCTGCGAGTGTTTGCTGATTTCCTCTTGGTTTGGTTCACTTTGCAGGATCAGGCTGAGCACAAGAAGAAGTCCTAGGAGTCAGGGGGGATGGATTCTGAAGGGGGCCATCTCAAACCAATTCATAACAACGTATAGTGGTCTAGATGCCAAAATTCATTCATATATATGTCTAGTAAGAAGGGCAGTGAATCTACTATCAGTGGATAATTATATAGTAACAGATCCTATTTGATCCAGTTATACTGTGAGGCTCTTAAGTCGTATTTACATGAAACTTATCTGTTCGTATCTCCAATTATGAAAGGTGGGGCTAGCATTACACTTGTAAAGATGTGCTTCTAAGGAACATGTAAGACACATATTTCATATTAATTTCAAGGACTGAGACTGAGAGTCCTTTGTAACATTGATCCATTGATCCATCTCTTAACTAGAGTAAGACATTAGAAATAGGACTATGGGATCATATTTCCTTCTTTTCCTGTCTGTCCGCTCTCAGAATGCATCCTGTCTTCACCTTTAACTGGAATTATGTGGTTAAGTCTAAGCATTATTCCTTAACTAGGACTATATATTTAAAAACTCCTATGTTTAACTAAAAATACTGCTTCCCTTCTAGCAAACAGCACATTCCGGTGTCCTGGACTAGGGAATGACAACAACAAGCAGAGAGAACAATAAATATGCATTTTACTTACAGGTATTTCAATCCTTGCTGTAAGTGTCTGATCTTTCTTTATATTCTGAACATGCAGAACTGGTCCAGTTAAGATATTTGATCCAGCATTACTGCAATCCACAGCATACACAGGAAGGTCTGTAGCTCCTGAAAACTAATACAATGAAGCACAATAGCATTTTACACCAAGTCTATTTCAGTCAGGACTTTCATATCAAGAGGTGACATAAAGACAGAGGAAGAGATAAGGCTAAGAAGAATATAAAAATTATCAACTTGTATAGCTTCTTTTTACAGAAAAACAGTAGAATAAAACTGTCATTAAAAAAGAGTTTAATTCATGTAAATAACATCATTCTAAATCAGAACTATCCAAGTCTATATTATCTTTTATTTTAATGTTTTGGAATAAATTTCCAGAAAATTAAATTTGTGGTATTAAGGTAAATTAAATAAGTTAAGGTAAAGTTATTAATTAGGTAAAAACAAAGATATGCACAAGGATTTAAACATACAACATCAATAATATAAATCAATTATACAATACCTTGTAAAAGTATTTTGAACAGTTGGTTGTGGTTCAAAACAATTTTAATATTAACCTAATATAACTAAAACCTTTGATAAATAGATTTAAGTTTGTTCAGTAAATTTAAGAATCTGCCAAATTTTTTGAAGTGAAGCGATCACTAATACCTTTCTCACAGCTAGAGCAATCTGCAACTGAGAGCTTGTAATATAACTGTATTAAAATGAGTTGACTGTCTTATACAGAGCTACTTCAGTGAAGGCAGCCAGGCAATAAAGATATTCACTTATTTGCATTAGTGAAGACTTACGAAGAATTAAGATATCTGATTTGCCCCATTCCCTTCTCTCTCACAATCTATGCTGTCAAAGATAAATAAAACAATTTAAAAAGGAATAGTGCTTGGTGGTTAGGTATTATGAGCCACAGTCACCTTAATATATATTACCTCTTGGCGGAAAGGGTTACTATTTTCTAGGATAAATTCAAAAGCAGCAGAATATTCTATACTGTAACTTTCAATAACATAAGAATGACATAACATGTACAATCATACTGAAGCTGTATTTTTAAAGAAGAATAAGAAAAATGCTTGAATTACCTTGCAGTGAACAATTAGTTTTGGTTGTGTTGTTATGTTCCCTACTTCATCCAGCACTTCAACATGAAAAGGGAGTGATGTTCCATTCTCAATTTTCAAGATATCAGAATCTGGTTTAACATTTAGTTTCTGAGGTGGGCCTGTTGAATTTACAAACTGGAGTTTAGTCCAGTTAATGTGGTCATTTCTGTTTTGTAAATGCTACAATATTAAAACACAAAATAGCAGGAAAATCTTTGAAAAGGCCAATGGATATAATATTTTAAATGGCTATAAGATAAACTGTAAAGAGATTTTCCATGTCTTTACCTTAGAAACTAAATATACCAGCATTCGGCGAATGGGGCGGCATAAAAATGTTTTAATTAATAAATAAATAAATAAAAATAAAATTGCATGGAAAGTAACTTCAATGGGTAATAACTTTAATAGTATCAACACACTGTTTTGTTCTCAAGGTCTACAAACGGCAAACAAATAACAGAATTATTTAGCCAGAAAAACAATACCTTGTTTATTTCTTCCCCGAAGACAAATCAACTTAAGGATGCAATCCTATGCATGTTTACAAAGAACAAAGTTCTACAGCTCTTAGCATTTCTAAGTCAGTATGAGCATTTAATTGTTTAAGAAATAAATAAGAATGGTCTGAGCTAAAAACTATTCGTATAAAAGTTTTAATTAAAAAAAAACACATTGTATTATATTGTGGCTGGAAAATACACATTTATTTCTGTCATATAAAATTCAGACTGTTTGAATGCTCTTTTCAACAAGTATTTCCAAACAGCTTTCAAATATTTCACTTACCTGGAAGAAGTTTAAATTTCAAAGTCTGGGATTCTTCTTGCAGACCAGGAAGAATGATCTTCATATTAAAGTTCTATTGAACAGAACAATTTTAGAGATTAATTTTAAATTTAAAGGATTTACTTTAAAGTATATATTTCTACTTACATTGCAAGTGTTTGAACTTGTCTCCTAGCTCTTTTTATAGCATACATATAAAAATCCCATTATAGGCAAGTGATACTAGAAGGACTATTGCAATCCAAAAATCCTACTGAACTGAGTAGTTACACACCTGACACTAAAATGCTGAATCTATCATTATTATGTAACAGTGTGAGTATCCCACACAGTGTTGTGCCTGTCATTTCACAGACACATAGAAACAGAGAGAGTCAGAAGGGGTCTCCGGACCATCTAGTCTGACCCCCTGGCTCCAGCCAGCTCTGCTCACGACATGCCCATTTCCATTCTACAAAGTGAGACGTACAGATTTAATGCTTATAGGAGACACTGAAAAGCTGCTAACCTGTAACTATGGTTCTGTGCATTCAACACATATGGACTCTAAGCATGTGCACAGGCTCATTTGGGAAACTTTCACAGCTAAGAAGTCTGCACAACCAAAGGAGCAATCTGCTGTTTCATGTACATCCAAGTGAAAATGGCAAATGATCAATGGCTCAGGTCAGGTTGCTGCACGACAAACGTCCTATAGGAAAATCCTTCTTATAAAGGCGACAGAGGCCACAAATCCTTTTCTAGAATGTGTTCTCAGATGGCCTAAAGGAGTAGACCTGTCTGCTCATAAGGTCTGAGCAATCCAAGAAGCCAGTCTTTGAAATGAAACAGAAAGGCCTTTTTTCAACCCCCATAACAAAGAAATAAACAAGGTAATTGACAACATGATTCAAATCTGGAACAGAAGAATGCTAATGTCCTTTTAATATTTAAGCTACAAAGAGCTCTCTTTACATCCAAGATTGGTGAAGGAAAGAAAGAAGGGAGCACTATGAAATGCAAAAAACCATCTTGGGTAAAAAGACACCACAGAGCATAGAACAAACTTCTCACTGTGGAAAGCCATGTAGGGAAGATTGACGTAGAAAGCCCTATATTATTAGCTCTTCAAGCCAAGGTGATTGGTATCAAGAAAGCCACTTTCCAAGAAAACAAGGGAAGTGGACATTGCTTCAAATAGATTTCTCGTGAGGATCTGGAGAACAAAATAAAGGCTCTGTCGCACTACTGCAGCCTGTACTGAAGCAGCCACATTACTGACTCCACAAAAGAATTGACAAAACAGGAGATGAGAAAAAACTGAAGAATCATCTATAGCAGACCTGGGCATTGTACGGCCCACGGGCCACATCCGGCCCGATGGCTGACCCTGACTGGCCCGCATGAGGTCACTGGCAAATTAAATGCAAATATATATTGTCATAATATAGATGCTTACTATGTTAAGTGCTGGGAGATTACATATGTTGTAAATTTGCGCTATATAAGTAAAATTGAATTGAATTTATTGCTTTTCATGTAATGTTAATGTTTTCGTGAATATTCATTAAATAGTGTTGTTCTGTGCTCCACATTTTCATTGTATCATTGTAATGTTTCATTTACTGTTTTTATAAAGATATATATTAAGCAGAGCTGTAAGTGTATTGGTCCAGCCCTTAACAACTGTCAAAGTTCCTCATGTGGCCCCATAGGAAAATTAATTGCCCACCCCTGATCTATAGGCTGATGGTAGGCTGAGATAGCAAGAGATAAATGCAGAAGGGTGATTTTAAAAAACATTTATTGAATAAAGAAAAAAATAAAACAAAGAAAATAATCAACTGAGCAACCGGTGGCAGAGGGCACCATCATGCTCAGGGAGTATGAAGTTCTTGAATAAATTCCACTTCCTTGCATAGGATAGCATCACTCAAGCCCTAGCAACAGTGATGAATTCCTGTAGTACCAGCCAGAAGGCAAATTGTCCAATTTCAGGCAGATTCACCAAGCCATAAACTTAAGCATGGCCAGAGTCGGATGCTGAATGTGACAAAAACAAGTGTACTTGAAGCAGAAGACACAGAAAAGCGCCATGGTGCGCCATGGTGTGCCCCTAGTTGTCTTGACCACCATGATTATATTAGAATCCCACTGGTACTGTCTGACCAGAGTTTCTCTACAACCTTTGTCAGAAGGGAAATAATGCAAAACTGTAGAACAACATCTTGTATACCTGGTACCAAACTGGATATACTGAGCACTGATGTATATGGTAGCTCTTGGTCCCACAGAGCTCAGGTCCTGAATCTTGCCTTTTGAAGCTAATGATGCTCCTTGAATCAGAGTCCAAGAACAGAAGTAGAGGCTTCCTTTTCCTTCCTGTGGAAGCCAAAATCCTTAGAATTGCCTGCCTTTTTTGCCAGCTTTTCATCCAGCTTGAGAATGCAAGGAAACAAGCTTGCACCAAGGCTGGAGTCATAGGTGGAGGTACAGTGAACTTGAGTTCAGCACTGCTTTGCAGAAATGCAGAAAAATGTCTATTAGACATGGTCAATTTTGGACCTTCCACCATTTCCAAGGCATATTTCAAGAGAATAGCCATTTAATCTGCTGTGATGTGCCTGTTTTGCAATCACCTGAAAATGTGGAGAGGTATTCACTAAGTGTTATTCACCAAGACAAATCAGGCACAAAGTATGGTCATCAGCTGATGAGAAATTAGTCCTACAGCAGGCACATTTCTGCAAAGGTGCCTTTAAGGTTGTACAGCCTAAAGGAGTCACCAAAAATTTCCCAAATGAGGGTCTGTGCCATAAGTGTGATACACAGGGATCATAAAGAAGAAACACTCATTTTTGGAATGGGGCAAGGGAGCTCTGCTGACTTGACACAATCCAGAAATAAGAATTTCTGCTCATTTTGGAGATTCTTCTAAGAAGCATGAAATCTGCATTGCTGAAGCACAATAGAATTAGCAGGAGAGGCTGCTTACACATTGGACCATTTGGATACTGGATACTGCCCAATAAGACTGCAATCCTAACATATTAACCATAAGGAAGTCCCATTCAGCTCAGTGAGGCTTACTTCTGAGTAGATGTGAACAGGCCTGCACTGCAAGTCTTGTTACAACCATTATACATCAAGGCTGTATAGAAATATGCATTTATTATATAAATAGAATAATTATTATATAAATGCCATACTGGAAGGCATTTGACTTACCTTGCCCTGGTAACTGTTCACCAGGCCTTTAGCAGTTATGCCCTTAATTGCACACTTTGGTCCTCTATCTAGTTCTTCATATTGTAATGTTAAACCACTACAAAATTAAAATTAAAATCAATTTAAGAACTGCTCACTTGTGAACTACAATTTAAGCCTTTATGAAGCATTTTGTGTTAAGGGTTTTACAGGACTTTAAAATTTACACCTTAGATGAAAAACCAGACTTATTCATGATGGCCCTTTCTGTCATCCTGATACTAACTTCCTGTGATTACAGGTGACTATCCCACTTGCTGCAGACATTAACAGAGTCCTTAGAGAGAAATGGTGTTGCTATGGATCAGCAGTAATAATAAGAGATAAGTTATTCAATAAAAACTGAGAAACTTATTCAAGAAAACTGAATTATTCTTCTTCCAGTGCAATTTTCAGTAGCCTCCAGTAGTTCAGTTCAATTTCTTGAAGCAAATGAGCCATGCATCTTCACATGATTTTACCCCCCTCCCCACATGTCCAAAGCCCTATTTAAAATTGCATAATTTAAGAACTCTCTTCACTTTGCCTGAAAACTATCAGGTCTGATCGAGAAAGGACATGTCCAACTCCTTTGCCATTATTGCCATGTAACAACCACACTGTAAGAGAATTTAAGAGACAGTTCCCTGGATTTGTTGCAACACTAGGGACAAATCAGCAGTTTATGAAGCTAAAAGCACTTAGTTGTCTCTGTGCCACCTAAATGTATCACTGGCTCACTGAACTGAGGTCAATCTAGCAGGTACAATTCTGTTTTTAAAAGAATTATAAAAGTAAAACAATCAAAATGCATTACCTAGCCTCAAGGATTGGTACAATATCATCTGTCAGATGGGTAGCATGACCAAATTCATCCTGGACATCTAGAGGAATATTGAACGGACACCCAACTCGAAAAGGAGGATCCAAAAGACCTATTGAAAACTTGTAAGGCTTGCCCGCTGCAGTAGAGGAGAAAAGTTCACATCTTTATTAAAAGTATATTTTTTCAGTGAAATTATTTAGGGGGTTGATTTGAGTTAACCTCCCATTACTAGCTTCAGTAATGAATCTCCTTATTTGTGAAATGAAATAAAATTATCCATGTGTGCAAGATCAAATCTTATTTTTGTTTCCTGGCATAAGTAAGGAGTATTTTTTGATGTCTGGTCAAGAACCAGTGGTTTCAGACTAAGCAAATTTCATTATTAGGTCTTCACTCATTCCATCAGATCACTGATTCTTTAAACGCCAGGATGCTACTATATGGAGTAAGTTCTATGATCTGGTAATTTCAAAATATAACAGTCTTTCTCTATAGTGGCTCCAAACCATAGCTTAGTAGGTCATTTCACTGCAGCCGCAATGTTTATTATTTATTTATTTATTTATTTATTTAAAGCTTTTATCTTCCACCCTTCACAATGTCTCAGGGTGGTAAATGTTTCAGCTTATTTATATTTTATTAATGATTCAATGAATGTATTCCATATCTAATCCAATTTTAATAAACAAAGCAGTTCTTTACTAAATCTAAAACAACTAATTTCTATATGCAAAGAAGAGGCACAGAAAGTTGCAAGGACAACAAATAACCTTACCGATTATATCAAATTTAAAGGTTGCAGAGGGAAGGGCTCTTCCTGCATATGTATCTGCATTGCTTTCATTTAGCACTACTTGTAGTTTCAGTGTGTAGGTCCCAAGTTTATTCATATTTTCTGCATATAATTAGATACATTTTAAATGAAATAATCAAAATATTGAAGAATTGTAAGATACATTTAAAGCAAAACACTCACCCATTTTTTTGAACCAGTAAGGCCATTTACTCCCATGCTGACTGATATGAGAAATGATTTCCTTATTTCCACTAGGTGCTTAAAAAGGTTGAAAAAGAAAGAGAAGGACTAATATAAGTAAAACAATTTATTTAAATGCATTATTATAATAAGTAAATATTTACTAAAATAGCACACTGCTTTATTAAGGTTTTCCTGAAGATAAAGCAGCAATTGAACAGATTTAAAAAGCTCAGCACCTCACAAGCAATATTTCATAGAAACAGTAGATTTCAAAAGGATCAGTATGTGATGAATTTAGGGCAACAATGCTATGAAAACTGTATAAAATTCAAGCTTTCTGAAGCTATGGTATCAGCAGAATGTCTTGTCTTTTGGCCCTTTCACACAACCAGTTCCATAGGATTCCAGCATCTGTTGCCAAAATCACAGTATCAGGACTTATTATGGACAGTAGTTAAATGCATATAATCAAAGGATTATTTACATGAACAATGTCTTGGTGAACCAGGAACTGAAATTTAATAGGCATTGTTATCTAATGTACACAAGATATTCAACACTGTGAATGAGCAATATAATTTTATTGTGGCATAAAAGGTAAATATGCAAAATCAAACTGGCACTTGCTGGTTACATAAGTATTCACCCGCCTTGGTCAGTATTTGGTAGAGGCACCTGTGGAAGCCATTTCAACTGTAACTCTTCTTAGGCAAGTTGCTGTCAGTATTGCACATATGGATACTGCAATGTTTGCCCAGTCTTCCTAACAAAATTGCTCCAACTCTGGGGACCATTGGTAAACAGTTACTTGCAAGTCTTGCCACAGATTCTCAATCAGGTTGAGGACTCAGTTTTTATTGGGCTGTCCTAAGACATTCTAAGTAACCACTCCAGTAATACTCTGGTTGTTTGTTTGGGATCACTGACCTGCTAGAAGGTGAACCTTGACCACAATCCAAGACTCCTTGCAACCTGAAACTTGTTTTGCCCTGGAATTTTCCTGTGTTTGAGCCATTCATATCACCCTCGATCCTAATCAGTTCCCCAATCCCAAATGAAGATAACAATCCATAAAACATGATGCTGCCACCACCATGTTTCACTAAAGGGATGGTGTTCTCAGGGCAATGAACAGCAATGACTCAACAACAATGCCAAACAATTGATTTTGGTATTAAAAGACTAGAGAACTTTTTCCCACATGTTTGCTATATCTTAGCTACGTATCTCTCCAACTCCTTCCAAGTTAACACGGACTTCTTAGTTGCTTCTGTAACTAACGTCCTCCTTACTTGGTCAATGGGGCTTGGTGGATGTCCTTTTCTAGGCAGAGTTACAGTTGACCTATATTATTTTTATCTTGTAGCAATGGATTTAATTGTGCTCCAAAGGATGTCTATAGTTTGGATTTTATTTTTAATAATCCAATCCTAATTAGTGCTTCTGCACAACTTTATCCTGAGTCGTTTCAATAGCTCTTTGATCTTCATGAGGCTGTTTGTTCAGGTATGTTGTCCAATAAACTCTGTGGCCTTCCAGACAAACGTATATTTAAACTGAGACTGTGTAGTACTGGGATTGCGCCCAGGAGAACTCTATTCAACTAGGTGGTAGGTTCCATCAGAATTTATTTAACTGTCACAACAAAGGGGATGACTACTTATGCAATGAACAAGTGCTGGCTTGGTTTTGTTTACTCTCTGCCATATCTTGTTATTTTACCATGGATAGTACCTTATACATGAAGTGTTAAAACTGCCAAATCTGTTTCAATTCAAGATTGTAACACAAGGTGACAGCAAGTGAACACTTCTAAAAGGCACTTTTAATACTTTTAAAAGAGTAATAAATTAAATGGAAATAAATTTAAACTGAAACTAGATAACCCAGCTCTAGTTGCCATAACAGGACAATAAATAAATCTCATGTCCTTTATGGCAACTAGAGCTGGGTTATCTAGTTTCAGTGCACATTAACAACAATGTTTTTAATCGTCTTGAAGAAAGAAACTTATATCCTTACAGTGCAAAATAATTTTTAGTTCCACAAGCAGTTTCTTTGATCCTCCATGACTTGAACCAGGAAGCTTTTGCATAGCTTCTCCTTTTTTATTCAATATTTCAATTCTTAGTGCTCCTATGAAAAATCAAATTTACCAAAATGCATTTAAAACAGAAGATTTTTGAAGTGCAAATATTAACAGACAATCATAACTAAAAATGCAAAAATATCACTCATTGTTTATGCCACTTACTTGAATATGTGAGCAAAGCACCACTGAGGAGTTTTACCCCAGGTTTCTTGAACATCAGAGAGATACTGCCCCTTCCCAGAGGTCTATATGTACAGCACAAACAATTGCAAAAAGGGGATTTCCTGCCTACAGCTGTACATAATGAGGCTTCCACACAACCCCAGACTCTGTGCAACTGGAGTTCTGGGTTCTGTGGAGAACTCTGTGGCTAAAATAGAACTTTAGGACAGTATAGAAATGTAATAAATAAAAAAATATATTTGAACTCTCACATAATTTTGAATTGTATGTGGAACATCAGGACATGGATTATTTGATTTATCCAGTGTCTGTGACAGAGGTACTTGGTAAACTCCATTTTTCACTCATATATTTGGTAAGTGGTACAAATAATACTTAATAAGGCTTTAAAATGAATTATATCTGGGAATAACACATACCTATAGTAGCTCCAGCAGGCTTGGTTTCATTTGGTATCAACTCATCTCCTTCAGGCCATGTTATTGACAACTTATCAGGAAGTCTAATAAAAGAACAAATTGTGATTTTTTGTTACCTTTTCCAGGCGTACAAACTTTAATCAAATAATCAGATCCATGTATTAAAACTATTTAGAAAAATGCATCATTAATGAATCAGGTAAGGCACTTTCCCCATATTTATCTACTCTGAAATTAAAATCTGTTTGAGGCCTTCTTCCAGGTGCCCCCATCAAACGAGGTGAGACACATGCTTTTCAGTGTAGCACCTGCTTGTGGAATGCCTTTGCCAAAGAAGCTTACCCAGCACCCTTGTTAAGGCCTTTTCTGCATTAGATGAAAGCCTTTTCATTCCCGTACACTTTTAAAGGGATATTTTTAATGCTTTCAGTATGCTATTCTACCACTTTTAATTTGGCTTTATATACTGGCATGGCTGTTTATTTTAATTTGTACACTGTTCTGTTGCTGTTAATCAGTTTATAAAAGCTTTAAATAAACAAATGAATAAATCTATCTGATGACTTTATCTTGGCTTTTATTCTGCACTTTTTATTCTTTGTTTTAATGTTTGTATTTTATATTTTAATGTATTATATACTGTCCTGATGACTTCATTTGTTCATCAGTTTATCAATCTAAAATAGTTTAAGACAATTCTGTTTAATATAAGTATTCTAAAGTCTGCAGATGATGGATCCCATCTTACTAGAGGCATTCTCCATTTCCATGCAAGAGGAAATGCTATTTCTAAAATGGTTTTGCAGCAACAAATTCAGGATACCTCTATTCTAAAAAACAAACAAATTATTCCTGCAAAACTACAGTTTAATTAATGAATATATGGAGCAACCCAGATAGCCAAGTGTGATGTAGTGGTTAGAGTGCTGGACAGGGACTCAGGAGAAATGGGTTCTAGTTCTCACTTGGGGATGGAGCACACTGAGTGACTTTGGCCACCACATACTCTCAGGCTAATAAAGTTGTTGTTAGGATAAAATGAAGAGGAAAAGAACCTTGTAAGCCACCTTGAGCTCCTTGGAAGAGGAAGAAAAGCAGGGCATAAATGTAATATATTAATTCATTAACTATCAATTAATCAATTAAAACACATAAATTAAACTGCCTACGACTTCCTTGTCATGGCGAAGGGGCTTGCGTAGCTCAATGAAGCTAGGAGCTATGCCGTGCAGGGCCACCCAAGACGGACAGGTCATAGCAGAGAGCTCTGACAAAACATGATCCACTGGGGAAGGAAATGGCAACCCACTCCAGTATCTTTGCCATGAAAACCCCATGGACAGTGCCAAAAGGCAAAAAGATATGACTCCAGAAGATGAGCCCCTCAGGTCAGAAGGTGTCCAATATGCTACTGGGGAAGAGCAGAGGACTAGTACTAGTAGCGCCAGAAAGAATGAAGTGACTGGGTCAAAGCCAAAAGGACACTCAGTTGCAGATGGTGAAAGGGGAGTCCGATGCTGCAAAGATCTATACTCCATAGGAACCTGGAATGTAAGATTCATGAATCAAGGCAAGCTGGACATGGTCAAACAAGAGATGACAAGACTGAGCACCAACATCTTAGGAATCAGTGAACTAAAATGGAAAGGAATGGGTGAATTAAATTCAGCTGACCATCAGGTATACGACTGCGGGCAAGAATCCCTCAGAAGAAATGGAGTAGCCTTCACAGTCAATAAAAGAGTAGGAAAAGTAGTACTTGGGATACAATCTCCAAAATGACAGAATGATCTCAGTTCGAATCCAAGGCAAACCATTCAACATCTCAGTAGTCTAAGTCTATGCCCCAGCCACTGGTGCTGAAGAGGCTGAAGCTGATCGGTTCTTTGAAGGCCTACAACACCTTCTAGAATTAACACCCAAAAATGATGTCCTTATCATCATGGGGGACTGGAATGCTAAAGTAGGAAGCCAAAAGATAACCGGAATAACAGGTATGTTTGGTCTTGGAGTACAAAATGAAGCAGGGCACAGGGCCCTGTCAAGAGAATACGATGGTCATAGCAAACACTCTTTTCCGACAACGACTCTACACATGGACATCACCAGATGGTCAACACAGAAATCAGATTGACTATGTGCTCGGCAGCCAAAGATGGAGAAGCTCTATCCAGTCAGTAAAAACTAGACCAGGAGCTGACTGTGGCTCAGATCATAAACTTCTCATTGCAAAATTTAGGCTTAAACTGAAGAAAGTAGGGGAAAGCACTAGGCCACTCAGGTATGACCTTAATCATATCCCTGATGAATATACAGTAGAGGTGACAAATAGATTTAAGGAATTAGATCTGATAGAGTGCCTGAAGAACTATGGACGGAGGTTCACAACATTGCACAAGAGGTAGCAACTAAAACCATCCCAAAGAAAAAGAAATGCAAGAAAGCAAAATGGCTGTCTGAGGAAGCTTTACAATAGCTGAGGAAAGAAGGGAAGTGAAAGGCAAGGGAGAAAGAGAAAGATACACCCAATTGAATGCAGAATTCCAGAGAATACCTAGAAGAGATAAGAATGCCTTCTTACATGAACAGTGCAAAGAAATAGAAGAAAACAACAGAACAGGAAGGACCAGAGAGCTCTTCAAGAAAATTGGAGATATGAAGGGAACTTTTCATGCATAGATGGGCATGATAAAGAACCAAAATGGTAGGGACCTAACAGAGGCAGAAGAGATTAAGAAGAGGTGGCAAGATTGCGCAGAAGAACTATACAGGAAAGAACTTAACGTCCCTGACAATCACAATGGGGTGGTCACTGACCTCGAGCCAGACATCCTAGAATGTGAAGTCAAATGGGACTTAGGAAGTCTGAGCAACAACAAAGCTAATGGAGGTGACAGTATTCCAGCTGAACTATTCAAAATCCTAAAAGACGATATGGTAAAAGTGCTACACTCAATATGCCAGCAAATTTGGAAAACTCAACAGTGGCCACAGGATTGGAAAAGGTCAGTTCACATTCCCATCCTAAAGAAGGGCAATGCCAAAGAATGTTCAAACTGCTGCACCACTGCACTCATTTCATATGCTAGCAAAGTGATGCTCAAAATCCTACAAGCTGGGCTCCAGCAGTATGTGGACAGAGAACTACCAGAAGTACAGGCAGGATTTCGAAGAGGGAGAGGAACTAGAGATCAAATTGCCAACATACGCGGGATCATGGAGAAAGCTAGGGAGTTCCAGAAAAACATCTACTTCTGCTTCATTGACTATGCTAAAGCCTTTGATTGTGTGGATCACAACAAATTGTGGCAAGTTCTTAAAGAGATGGGAGTACCTGACCATCTTATTTGTCTCTTGAGAAACCTATATACGGGTCAAGAAGCAACAGTGAGAACTGGACATGGAACCACTGATTGGTTCAAAATTGAAAAAGGAGTTCGGCAAGTCTGTATACTGTCACCCTGCCTATTTAACTTATATGCAGAGCACATCATGAGAAAGGCGGGCATAGATGAATCAGCAGTTGGAATTAAGATTGCTGGGAGAAATATCAACAACCTCAGATATGCAGATGATACCACTCTCATGGCAGAAAGTGAAGAGGAACTAAAGAGCCTCTTGATGTGGGTGAAGGAGGAGAGCGCAAAAGTTGGCTTGAAACTCAACATTAAGAAAACTAAGATCATGGCATCCGGTCCTCTCACTTCCCGGCAAATAGATGGGGAAGAAATGAAGGTAGTGACAGATTTTATTTTCCTGGGCTCCAAGATACCACATATGGGGACTGCAGCCAAGAAATTAAAAGACGCTTGCTCCTGGGGAGGAAAGCTATGGCAAATCTAGATAGCTTACTAAAAAACAGAGACTTCACCCTGCCAACAAAAGTGCGTGTAGTCAAGGCTATGGTTTTCCCAGTTGCAATGTATGGCCATAAGGAAGGCTGAGTGCTGAAGGATTGAGGCCTTTGAATTGCGGTGCTGGCGGAGACTCCTGCAAGTTCCCTGGACAGCGAGGCGATCAAACTGGTCAGTCCTAGAGGAGATCAACCCTGACTGCTCTTTAGAAGGCCAGATCCTGAAGATGAAACTCAAATACTTTGGCCACCTAATGAGAAGGAAGGACTCCCTGGAGAAGAGTCTAATGCTGGGAACAATAGACGAGAAAAGAAGAAGGGGACTGCAGAGAATGGGGTGGCTAGATGGAGTCACTGAAGCAGTTGGTGTGAGCTTGAGTGGACTCCGAGGGATTGTGGAGGACAGGAAGGCCTAGAGGAATGTTGTCCATGGTGTCGCGATGGGTTGGACACGACTTCGCGACTAACAACAACAACTTCTTTAATTGCAAGAACCCAGTATTCCCCTTTCCTTCTGAAGTCAAGAAAACAGAATTTCCTTTAATAAGCCTCCAAATCTTCTTAGCTTTCAGATTACTGAATTAACAAATTAAAATTTCTTTGTCTCATGTAAACTTACCTGGCCATTTCCTCTTCAATATATTTTTTCACTGCTGTGTCAGACACTGAACGATCGAGTTTGCATATTGGAATAATCTTTGTTTCTGCATACAGTTCCTTAGGTTCCTGAAAAAATGAAACTGTTAATGACTGCCTTTTTCCAAGGAAGCAAAGAAATGTGGAAATAAATTTTGTATGTATGTGTGTATGCATGCAAGCGCACTGGCAATGAATAAAAGAGGAGAGGGAGAGAAAGGCAAGTATAAAACAGTTGTAGATTCATCAGAAAGACTGGATTCACTATGGATACAGTTAGTTTTAAGTGAAAATATATAAGAAATATGAACTAACAGTCAAGTACTTTAAATATATCTAAAGCTAAACGATTCTGCTTCCACCCTCAATGACAGCTGTGATATTAGATGGATAACAAGAGTGGCAGTTTGGAACGCTGGGAAAATTCCTAAGAAGAAGAAAAAAAGGTGTGAATGGCAGAAAGCTTCAGGTGAAGCTTTCAGGTGAAGGCCTTATGGACTAAGAGTTCTGAGTGTGTGGATCCAGAACTTTCCCGTCAAACATATCATATATTTTTTTCTTCAATTAGAAGCAAGTGTAAATAGAAGAGGCTATATGCAGAGTTAAAAGAACATAAGAACAGCCATGCTGGATCAAGAACAATGATCTATCCAGTTCAGTGTTCTTTCACCCATCAGCAAATCAGCTGTCCACAGGTGTGCCTACCAAGTTCCCCTGCAACTAGGATATACACAGGCAAAATATTTTACAACCTGCTATTCTAGTTTTGAGGTAATAATTGCAGCTTTGTGGTAATAGAACCTTATTAATAAATCAGCTAAAATAGCACTTAAAACACTTTAATCAATTAAAAGGTGTTAACTAAGCAACAGATGTCTTAAAACAATATTAGTTTTCTTATAAAGAGTGCAAATGGCAGGGATTATCTTAGAAGTAGCATTTTATTTTTTCTTTCAAATGCTAAGAGAAGTTGTTTTGTGGGCTGCAGAAACAGGGTGAATGAGAATAAATCTCTTCACACTCTAATATAGAAGAAAAAACAGAAATAGAATACCTGCCCTGCACTGGAATGAGACCATGTTAAAGGTTTCCTGCTGATCTTCCCCACACAGCCAGGATCCTTATCAGTAGTACTAGCCTGGAGAAATGGAAAAAAAACCTTTCTTCCCTGTAGCAATCCTGATTTCCCCTCTGCTATATCTCTATTTCCCTTACAGTCTGCATGCTATCAATTAGGGTTGCAACCTGATTTTAAATGGCTTACTAAGCAATCAATATAAATTGTAAAATTTGAATTAAAATATCATTTTGATATGCTCTTAAAAATGAAAGCTTCTTAACAAAACAAAGTTGTAATTGATTGCTAGAAGGAAAAGGGACCCTGAAACATTTTTGCTTTCATCAGATGTAGTCGATTTTACTAACACCTTTTACTTGACATCTGTGTCCTATGCAGATATTCAAATCCCACATGTGAATGGTTCAGATTGCACTGACTCACACTATCCCCATGTTTGTGGATTGGATTTCATGCTTACACGATGTATGTAGACAGACTTTTTTCAACTGGAGAGTCTGGCTGGGTGGGATTACTGACATTTATTCCTTACTCCATGTAAGTTTTAAATACCTATAATCTAAATAGATATTAATCTGATTATATTAATAGATGAATTTAAACATTAACTATTCACTTACCAAAGCTATTTCAACATCTCCTCCAGTAGCATACACATCTCCATCATGATCCCCATATAAAAAAAATTTTCTTATACTTCCATGGAGAATTGGGAGTGTTTTAATTGTTTTTACCTAAGATGTAAATTTTAGTTATTTGTAATCCCATACATATTTAATGTACTCCCAAAATGAATATTTTGTAAAACGATTTAACTTACATAAATATCCAACAAAACATTTATACTGTTATAAAGATTCATCACTATATTTGCATTTACTATAATTTTTCAGTAGCCTGAAACAGCGTTAGATAAAAGCATCTCTTGAATACAAATAGAATTTTCTTCTCCAAAACTTTTCAGTAGGTCATTACTCACTGCATGGCTAAATGTTAGGATTAATTTTATAAGAAGCTTCTTCTTATTTGTTCACTGTATTGTTCAATGTGGAAAAAATAGTAGGATGGGAGGATCCAAGGATGGATTCTACTGGAAGCCTGATGAAGCAGTTCTTAAGATTCAGCAGGTAGTATAGGGAACTCTTCCACAGGATAGTATTTTGGAGTCATGCCACAGTTCATGCCTTCAGGTTATTATGAAGGGCACCAGGACTAACTGCTTTGAACCTGACTTCTTCAAGAATTTTCCATAGATCAGAGCTACCTTTGGTTGTCAGAATGGAAAATCTTTCCTTTAATGAAGCAGTTTCACCCTTCCCTTACCTTCTGGATGGGAAGTTAAAGACTTAGCCTCCAGTTTTACAGCAGGTGAATCATCTGATGAATCCAAATCTGTCTGACCAGCTGTCCCTTTCATTTCCAACAACAGCAACCATGGGACTGTCCCAACATGTCATTGACACAATGCATGTGGCAGAGTCTGCTCTAGACTTGGTCTTCTTGACTGGATATGAGGATGTTGCTCGGAGGAAGGGGGGGGGATTGACTCAGTCCCTTTTTCATGGTAAAATCATTGCCTGCTGAGATTTAGACAGCTTTTCCCTTCTGCAATGGTGGAGGACCTATAAAGATGGTTCACCTCTAGAGGCTAATGGATCCAAATGGTTTTCAGAGGGCTTTGGAGGATTTTTTCTGGCTGACATTACTGGCACTCCTGGCAAAGCCCCGTGGAACGCATGCTACTAGTGGCTCTACTCATAATGGCTTGAGGTCTTGCTCAGGCATGTGGCCCCAGCCTCCTGGCCTTGGTCAAATTACTCCCTTGAGCTACAAATGGTATCCACTATGAGGGCAAGTAACAAAATACTGTTTCCCACGCATGCTTGACCTAACAGACTGGGAAATATAATTTTATTCATCTTAAATTTTTGAACTATGCACAGTTCAAAAACATGCATTAAGCCTTATTTGTTTTCTAGCCCACCCCATTATCCATAAGTGTTTCATTTTCAACAAGCAATTAGCTTACCAGCTGGTCAGTTTTATATGTTTTTCCATCCCACTCTATTGCTAGATATGTAGCCCAAGGACTTTGCATTCTTTTAGAGGCCAGATCAGTGCGTGTAATTATTCCATCAAACAAAGTAAATTTGATCTGTTTGTCGTATTTTTCATGGCAGTCCTTCAGCCATAAGGCAAATTCTCTGTCAATTTTCATTCTCTGTTCCTTCGGCGAATGGGGCGGCATAGAAATGTTTTAATAAATAAATAAAATAAAATAAATAAATAAATAAATAAATAAAGAGTTTTGTACATGCATTACACAGTAAATATAGTTCAACATTTATGACTTTCTGAAAGTTTGCTTTTGTATAAAACTACTTCTTTTAAAAGTCTCAAAGTCAATTCCTTTTAAAAAAAGTTGTTCAAAGTTACAAGGATATGATCATACATGACACTATGGTTTTCAATACTATGATCCTAAAAACGCAATTTTATTTGCACCTTTCTTCAAAAGTAGCCCAGGGCAGTGCTTTAGCCTTGCAAGGCAGGTAGTAAGGTTAAAGAGATAAAGATATATACCCATCATAGCTGAATAGGAATTTCCCATGTCCAAATGCAATACTCCAACCATTTTGCAATACAGGTTCTAAGAATCATTTTGCTTGTTAATCCTATATACACTGCTTGTTGCAATTCACTTTTTAGTATTTATTTATAAAACAACCACAGTATGCAGAGCATTCATCAGTACCTAAAATCCTCATAGCACCTTTGGCTGCTATTCTGAATATGTAGTCCCTGCTTGACTTTTGTTGCATCATGCAAACATAGTGAGTGTGGATTTAATTGTTGTGAACTGCTCTATACCACTGCTGTTGTGTGATAGAAAAATATTATTTAAAAAAATGATATAATTAAACAGTATTCACATGACCCATAGTTTGTTTTAGCATAATGTGAGGGTTATTTAACCCTTGTATAACCCATGCTTGCCAGGTTTGCATGGCATGACAACCCCCAGTTTGGTTGCAAATGCAGTCTGGCACCTGCAGACACTGCAGCTCATTTAAATCCAGTCTGTTACAATCTATAATTGACACTCTGTATAGGTTAAAAAGCATGAAAAAGAATCCACTGTATTAGTGGATTAGTACAAACCTAATTAATACACATCTAATGATTTTCTACATTTATTTTATTTTAGCAAACATATTAAGCAAGTATTACCTGTCCATTGACAACTCTTGTAAAAAGTGTATTTTTGTCTTTTAACTTTAATTCCAAATCCATGAAAGTCAGCTTGTTTGTGCTGACCTGAAATTTGTCATTTGTAAACAACACACCAGAAATTCTGTTGTAACACTCAACTGGGGTAAGCCCTCTCTTCTTGGGCAGGGCACACCACTCAAAGCTTGGGGAGAAAGAACAATGTTTAGAACTTAAAAAGAAAAGAAAAGAAAAGCATGTAAATTGTGGTACTAGTATAATCTTACTCTTCCACTGTTGTATATGGTATTAATCTTCCATTCCAAAAACATTCAAAAATGGGTCTTTTCCCTCTGGCTCCCTTTTCTATTACATAGTATTCTTCATCTTCATCATCATCATCTTTTAATCCTAAATTAAAAAGTGAATTTAAAATTATAAAGGAATGAAAACCTAAAAGACAATGTTCTCCAAACTTCAGATCATGTAATATTTTCTAATTAAGGACTATACATAGTTGTGACTGTGCTTTTTTCTATTTTATAAGCTAGCACAAACATAGCATTATGTTTAACTTCCAGATAATGTTATGCAGTTTATTTTTAACCCATTCAATAAACCAATAATGTCTATTCAGCACTGGTAGGTGCAAGAAATTTGTACAGTGCAACAGCCATCAGTAGCTCTTCCATACCACAAAGCAAAAGTATCACCCTCAAAACCTGACCTTTGAAGTAGTTCTGTTCTTGTGTGTTTCAACTGCTTTAGTCTAATTCAAAATTTTCCCTAGCTTCTCCACCTGCCTTGCATGCCACTGATTGTCCTGAGTGGGATAATGTGCAGTGCACAAAGAGGAATCTCTATTGTTATCTGTGATCTCAAGAGATTCTCAAAAGGAATTCCTTGCCAAGAGGTGACTGGACTAGAGAGGAAAACTCTGCAGGCCAGAGTTTCCCCAGCCCTGTTCTGAAACAAGGGAAACACAATTCTAGCTCATATACCATACCTAGCTGAGATAGATGGCTGGAGTGCAGCCTCTCTCTTCCTGAAATTCTAGACTCAATTGCAGCACTTAGAAAGTAGGCCAGGAACAGACAGCTGCAAGAGGCAGTTTAATATTCATTCTGGTTTGCAGATAGGAATAGGAACAATCTAGTGACAGAATAAAAATTGGTAGTAGAGGCTGGAATGAAATGCTGTGTAAAAAATCTAAGCTATCTCAATCTGGAATGGAAAAACTGCAACTGCTATACAATAGATAAGCACCTGAATGTATCATTTGTTTCTATCTGTAGAAACAAGCTTGCTTTGTTTTACTGTTAACCCTTAAGAAGGCGTGACTATGTGAAAGAGCATGCATATTTTTGGAAGCAATCTTGATGGAGTGGCAAGAAGGAAAACAAATGCTATCAGATAATTACTCTAGTTAATCTAAGCCAGTTGTAAATAAGATTTGTAATAAGATTGGACTCCCACTGCTGATGGTTTGAAGAGATTGGGAAGGCAAGTCGGAGTTTAAGAAGCAGAGTGTTTTCTGTGAATAATGGTGCGGAAGCAAGGGAATACAGTGAACAGGCTGCGGGATCTGAATATAAGGGTCCACAGCTCAAGTAAGAGAATTGTATACAGGAAAGAAAAAAAATGGTTCAATGTAGATAAAGCTGCTACTAAGGGTTTCCACAAAGGTGAGGTCATTTGGTAACAAATGGCTATTATGTTAAAAATTGTTATTTGACAGTAAAAGTGTGATTTAGTACAAGAATTTCATGATGTATCATAATGATATAAGACCTAAACATTTTGGGAATATAGTTAGCCCTCAGTATTGGAATATTAAATATAAACAGTATGAAGTTGTCCAACTTACTTGAAAGAAAGCAAGGATCTTCAGGGTAGGTTTCTTTATCATACAAGAAAGGATGATAACGCATAACACCTTCTACCACACCATCTCCTTCAACATGAGCTTTGAACTCAAAACTATCTGCTGCGGTATTTATATATAAGGTTTGCATATCATCTTTGATTTCTCTAAGATTCAAAATCTTAGGTGTCTTCCCTTTTTCAAACATTGCAATCTAAACAATTAATAATTGAAATAAAAAGTTACTTTTTCCTCTATATGCATTTCCTCTATCACAGTAATCAACATACTATAAAACCATGGGATCAAAATAATATAGAAAAAATGGTATTTTGGTTTTCAAATGTAACACACACACACGTGCACGTCCTGTAACAAATATTACTAAGTAGCATGAGACAATATTACATCTTTCAAGGGGCTGTGGAGTACAATTTCCTTCAACTGACTGATCTGACTTCACATTTATTTAATTACATGTATAGCAGCCCACTAACAAAAAGTCCATATGGCACCTTACAACAAAAGAGAACTAGTTCCCCAGGCTGGCTTCTTGGGGTGTTTAGCACGGATGAAAAATTGGAAAATCCAGCTCTTCAAGTGGAATACTGAGTAGAGTCTAATGTATTCATTTCCAATCAGATCCTACCTCTATATCAATATTATTGAAAGCTCTTGTTTCCTTCACTGTTGGATTAGTTTCATTTCCTTTTGGTCCATGGATATAGTAATGATATATATGCCTGAAAAATAATTCTGATTAAAATACAGTGTGAATGTGCAGTGCTTAATATTCATGCAGGCCATAACTTTAGCTTAAAAATATAGAACTGGTATCTTATACCTGGCATCCAGATATATGAAACCAGGACTGAGCATACTCTGCACTAATATATACTCGTGTAAAGTTAGAAGAAATTCGGCTTCAGTTTTGCAAGTATAGAAGCAAGCTACCTGTGGCAGCTGGAACAATTCCCCCACCCTCTTTCAAGTGAGGTATTTCTGAAATTTTATTCTATTTTGAGTAGGATTTATTCATATAACTAGGACAGGAAATTATTTACTACCCTCAGTCCTTGTAAAAAAAAATAGTATGCATGCACTAAAGATCCAGACTGACATAAGTCCACCTAAAAGGCAGGTGGCTAAAGGGAATTCCATACATGTTTTCTCAGTTGTTACTACTCTAATGTAACACTATATCTGAGATGTTTTCTACATTCTGTGAGAATTAAGTGGAAAAGTATACGATAGGATATGAGGACTCATTTGAAATTATTTATATTGATTACATATGAATATAAGAAACCACTTTAACAATATTATCTCACGTTAGTTGTCTTGGCCAAAGGTGAAAATTGTTTTTTAGGTACTGCACATGTTCTGGCTGTACCCCAGTAATAACCACTGCAGTGAAGCTCCCTTTGTCTTTTTCCTCCATGATTAGATTGTGTAGGAATCTTTCATCATCATTAATAATATGGGAAGAATCAGCTGGCTGTAAGAAAAGATTTTAATATAAAATAAAATAAAAATGCTGCCTGACAAGGAACATTACTAGTTAACTTCACTCATCAGAATGTCTACTATTGAGAACAGGGAGGACACTAAGAGACTTATCAGCGAGAACAGTTCATGCCCAATTGTTTATCAGAAAAGAAAGAACTAGCTACTACAATTAATAAACTTACAACTGTCCAAATTGTAAAAGCTAAGTATGAGAAGGAACAGGAATTTTTCAAGTATTTAATATGTTGAAACAAATTGTTAGAGTGCCGTTATTACCTTACCTTTCTGTTTCTTTTTTTCTATAATAAGTTTTATTCAAAATTTTAGTCCTAAAAACAAAGAAAAACTAAAAACTACATCAATCATCAGAAACATCGAGCCTGCTGGGTCAGCCCCCACATTTTTTTTCCATTTATAAGATAGAAACATAATCTATAAGAAGTTCCGTTTCTCTAGCCAATAATAAAAAGAGTCCCAAGTTTGATAGAAGTACCTTTCTGTTTCTTATGTATCCACTGTATATAGATTCTTTGTTTTTCTCTTTCTTTTCAAAATCTTCTTTCGAAAGAACAAGCTCATGAACATCTTGAGAACTTGCAGGTTTGCTTATCATCTGGTTTCAAATTTTATATAAACATAAGAGTATCAAAGTTATGAGCATAATCATAATAAGCATAATTCCAGTTGCACACACAGAGCAAGGCATAGACAATCTACAAGTGCCAAAAATGCACTGAACCCCTGGAAAGGCTATTGGTGTATAATTGTCTCAGTGCAGCTCCTGGATGAAGCATACAGCCCACCTCATAATTCTATGATGTGGTAATATGGCAAAGACTACCAGCCCCCGACCAGCAACCCAGGCCCTCATGTACTAAATTTGCTCATTCATTCATTCATTCATTCATTCATTTATTGAAACATTTTTATGCCGCCCCATTCGCCGAAGCCTCGGGGCGGCTTACAACATAGATAAAACAATAAGATTAAAATATCCATATAAAACAATCTTAATTAAAACACACATTATAAAATAAGCCGCCCTGGCCAGATAAAATTCAATTGTACTTAGCATTTAAAATGTTGCTTAAATAAAAAGGTCTTAGCCTGGCGCCGAAAAACAAATAACGACGGCGCCAGGCGGACCTCTCTGGGGAGCGCATTCCATAACTTAGGCGCCACCGCTGAGAAAGCCCTTCTCCGAGTAGCCACCCTCCTAATTTCTCTCAAGGAGGGCTCCCGGAGAAGGGCCTCTCCCGCCGATCTCAGGGGGCGACTGGGCAAATATGGATGTAAGCGCTCCTTCAGGTAACCAGGACCCAAGCCGTTTAGGGCTTTATAGGTCATTACCAACACCTTGAATTGGGCCCGGACTTCAATGGGGAGCCAGTGAAGCTAACGGAGAACTGGAGTCATGTGAACATAACGTCCAGTCCCCGTCAGCAGCCTAGCAGCTCTATTCTGAACCAATTGAAGTATCCGGACCGTCTTCAAGGGTAGCCCCACGTAGAGCGCGTTACAGAAGTCAAGACGGGAAGTCACCAGCGCATGAGTCACTGTTGCAAGGCAGTCGTACTCCAGGTAGGGGCGCAGCTGATGAATCAGCCGAAGCTGGAGGAAAGCGCTCCTCGCCGCTGTTGTCACCTGAGCTTCAAGTGAAAGCTCCGGGTCGAGGAGCACTCCCAAGCTGCGGACCTTGTCCCTAGGAGGGAGTGCAACCCCATTCAGGACAAGGTTCAGGTCACCTTCTCCGAAGCCCGAACCGCCAACCAACAGGACCTCCGTCTTGTCTGGATTGAGCTTCAGTTTATTGGCCCTCATCCAGCCCATTACCTCGGCCAGGCACCGGTTCAGTACAGCCACTGCCTCACCTGGATTGGTGGAGAACGAGAGGTAGAGCTGGGTATCATCAGCATACTGATGGGTCCGCAGCCCACACCTCCTGATGACCTCTCCCAGCAGTTTCATGTAGATATTGAACAGTAAAGGGGACAAAATGGAACCCTGCGGTACCCCATGGCAAAGCTGCCATGGCGCAGAGCCATAGTCCCCCAACACCACCTTCTGGAATCGGTCGTTGAGATAGGAGCGGAACCACCGCAAAGCGGTGCCTCCGACCCCCAATCCCGCCAGCCTATCCAGAAGGATACCATGGTCGATGGTATCGAAAGCCGCTGAGAGGTCCAGGAGAACCAACAGGGACGCACTCCCCCTGTCCTTCTCCCTGCACAGGTCATCGTACAGGGCGACAAAGGCAGATTCAGTACCGTACCCGGGTCTGAAGCCGGACTGAAATGGGTCCAGATAATCAGTTTCATCCAAGAGTGCTTGGAGTTGTCCTGCCACCACTCGCTCTAACACCTTGCCCAGAAACGGGATGTTGGCCACTGGTCTATAGTTAGCGGCCATCCCTGGATCCAGTGACGCCTTCTTCAGGACCGGTCGGACTACCGCCTCCTTTAAAGGGGCAGGCACCCGACCCTCCCTCAGAGAAGCGTTAACCACTTCCAAGATCCAGGTTCCAATCCCGTGCTTGGAATCCTTTATTAACCAAGACGGGCAAGGGTCCAAAAGGCAAGTGGTAGGACGTACTCATCCAAGCACCTTGTCCACATCATCGGGCCGCAATAACTGAAATTCATCCAATAATTCTGGACCAGACGGCAGCGTTGGTGTCTCCCTTAAAACCTCTGAATCAATAGTGGAATCCAGCTCGTGACGAATCTGAGCGATTTTCTCCCTAAAATGCTCGGCAAAGTCGTCACAGCGGGCCTTTGAGGGTGGAATCAGCTCTTCCTTTGGCCCTGGGTGAACCAGGCCTTGCACCACTCGAAAGAGCTCCGCCGGACGGCATTGTGAGGAGGCAATGGAAGCGGAGAAGTGTCTCTTTTTCGCCGCCCTCACCGCCACAGCATAGGCCCGATAGTGGGCTCTTAAGTGTGTTCGGTCAGATTCATCCCGTGATTTCCTCCACCTACGCTCTAGCCGTCTCCCAACCTGCTTCATTGCCCTCAATTCTGGAGTGTACCAAGGGGAAGAGCGAGCTCTGCCTGGTGGGAGAGGACGCTTAGGAGCGATCGTGTCTACAGCCCTAGTCATCTCCCCATTCCACAGTTCAACCAGAGCCTCGACAGGAGCACCCGTCTTGTCAGCCGGAAACTCCCCCAGAGCCTTCAGGAATCCTTCCGGATCCATCCGGCTCCGGGGGCGGACCCACACAATCAGGTCTGCACCCTTACAGAGGGAGATGTCACTCTCGAGCACAAACCTCACTAGGAAGTGATCTGACCATGACAGGGGAGTCAAGCATAAATTCCTCACCCTCAGACCACGCTTTTCCTGCCCCGTCGAGAAAACCAGGTCCAGAGTGTGTCCACGTTCATAAAAGCAGCCTTTGGGGCACTTCATGTTTTAATTAACTGATTAATTGTGGAGCTGTACACAAGCTATTTCCTGCTCCCAGTAACCATTCCCAATTGCTTAATTCAAGATTTGTTACTGTGACTTCCAGGTGTGGGGACTTGCAATTTTTGTGGGTTAAACAACCCCAAGATATCCCAAGAACAAACTAAGCATTTGAACATGCATGCATTCCTATTCACTTTTAGTATGTAATTTATATAGCTTGAGACCAACAGTCCTCATTGTCAGACTGGGGTATCTGGGGGGAAAACCCCACCATTTTGGATTAGCAGCTGGGAAACAAAGTGGAAGGAGAGTTTACATACTGGAATCTATGGAGTAATGCCAGGGTATGGGTAAATCTCCCCAGAGTATCCTTAATAATACCATCCTGTCCAGCCTATTTGCACCCTTCCATTGTTTCACAGCCTTTACTAAAAGGACAGCGTTCCTTTGCCATCCTAGTTGCCAATCAGTGATGGTCATCAGATAAGTTCACTTTCCGCCACTAACTCAGCATGGGGCCCATTCCCCAGGGAGTTATTATGGCAGAATCATGCTCAGTCTCTTACTAGTCTCGCATAAATTAAGCAATGATAAAAATTGTAAGGATATTAAAACAATACTTACTCTGGCACATTGTCCAACAAAAAACACTGCTTGTTTACCACCAACTCCAAAATATGATATATCACTGTTTAAACTGCGAGGAACTGCTGGAGGATGTACATACCCAGAATGATCACTAATTCCAACACTGGATAAAAAGAAAAGCAAAAATTGTTAAATATGTATATGTAATTAACTTATTAAAATAGTAATTAACATGTTCCAATTTATGAGAGCTTCATTGCAAATTATATAAGGGTCCAACAAGACACAGCTCACAATATATTCCTATAATATTTCTAGCAAAGTTTGGGTATATAAGATTTCTTCATGGTGGCTACTAGAGAATTACACAGAGTTGGCACAACAAGAAATTTGAGGTGAAAAAAAACCATATCTTTTGCTGTTTACCAGATAAGAAAGGTTCCAGAAAGACTGAATAAGATTCCTCTACTTTAACCCCGATGGTTGGAAATTCAAGTCAATAGGTGAATTCACACAACATAATAAACCCTGGGTGGATTGTTTTGTGAATAACCCATGTTATGTCTGGCAGGGTATAAATTATTCCCCCTACAGTGGCAAGACTGGCTTGTAACCTCCTCCTCACCATAAGTGGGAGTTTTTTTCAGCTGGACATATTTTTCCCCTTTCACCCTTCCCCTTTTTTTTTTTGGAGATTGCAAAGTCTGGCTTGACAACCAACTTTTCTGATCCCTGTTTTCACAGCCATTGACAGGCCATTTGAAGTGTCAAAGCAGCACCCCAAGGGCATGTCTATGGCTACCCTTCACAACAAGATCTTTTTTTTTTTTTTTTTGGTGGGGGGGTCCACTGTTGAGGGTAGCACGTTTTTCCATTGCTTAAGAATGATCAGGGGTGGCTAAGTCAAGGCTTGGGAGCTGCATGCAACTCTTTATATATATATTTTGCAGCTTGCTACCCATGAGCACCCATTTGTGGCTCTCAAATACCTGACATTCACCACGTGTGGCTCTTCTGTTGAGCAAGTCTGGCTACCACTGCTCTAGGTGCTCAGGAACACGGAAAAATGTAAGCTACATCTCCTTCTAAGTGAGCTGTCAAAATTCTGGATCCTATAAAAGGTGCTTTATTGGACAGGAATCGATATTGTTTTTAAAACATATGCAAAAAAGATGTAAAAGGGTTGTAAATTCTACTAAACCCTTTCACGTGTTGCTATATCTTGTGATTTGCAATAGGCTGCTGAGTTGTGTGACCCCAGTCATTGTTACAAAAGTGTAATAAAGACTTAGATGTACTGATTTATTATAGCGTGATTAACTTGACTTTCATTTACTTTTTTGATTCCTGAGCATTATTTATAGGCTACTGGAACTCTCTTTAACTGAGAAAACAGCACTCTAAAGCTGATAAATGGGAATTAACAGGTATTATATCATGACTCTGTTTGAGCTGCAAGCTCATTGTCTGTCCAGCTATATTCTATTCTTCCCATTTTGTTCTTCATTCTTTTCCTACAAGAAAATCCTAGGATTGTTTTCAATGAAGACCATGTTCTCTACTTACTGGATTCAGGTTGCAATTCTACACATGCTTAGCTTGGGAGTAAGTCCCACTGGACTTCAACTTTCAATAAACATGTTTAGTGAGTTTGCTATTAGATATACTTGCCACCAGGTGTGCTGGCTCTGTTCCAGCAGTGGTTAAAAGTACACAACTATAATGTACATAATGGAGGCTTTACACAGGGACTTTTACACAATTTAATTAATTAAAGTTATATTTAAGTATCACTGAAATTAAAATATACTAACCTTTCTGTATCACCTTGTCGTGTAAATTTTGACAACCGATATACAGCCCAATTATTAAGTTGTTTAGATGTCATGCCTCTGCCATTATCAATCACAGCAACAGCTGGTTTTCCTTGGGTGTCATCAAATAACTATTAAAAATAAGAAAAAGTATATGAAGTATACTTTATAGAAAAAGTGTATAAAGTAAGTCTGTAAAATACTAACTCACCAGCTTTAACTGTATTCTCCGGACACCTGTATTCTGTGAAGTAGCTGATAACGAATTGTCAATTAATTCTGCCAGAGCAAATGCTAAATAAAAGGAGAAGATTTTAAAAAGAAGTATTATTACCATTGACAACAAAACTCAGAATACCCATTTTAAGACAATGTACAATTTAAGCTACACTACATCCTCTTTTCTTTTTGATCATAACAGAACTGACAGATGCATATTAGAAATCTGATACACCTGTAACTGAGGCTCATTAGCACATTTAATATATTATTCCAGTACAAGTCAGATAACCTTTATTTAACTAGGATACTGACTTTTATAAAATCCTTATTAGTAAAACACTAATATAATTTTGCGATATATCATAAAGCTTTTTGTCTACATCTTTCCAGCATATAATTTGGTAGGAGGTACATAAAGACCAAGAATAAGAGTTTTTAAAAGCTAAAACTAATTGCATAACAAAAACAATCTAAAGAAGAGACACAGCACTGACAGTGGTGGCAGCAGTAAAGGGAGAGAATGCAGTGGCAGCAGGCCCACCTGGTGCAAAGCAGAATGCAATTTGCTGTTCTTCCCATTCTACCACCTGATATAGGGGCTTTACCCTACTTCATGAAAAAAACAGCCCTTGCTTGACTAATCCCAGGTGACTGCCAGGTCAAAAATTAGCTAGCTGGGGGACCATTCATTTATTTAAGAAAAGGAGCCAAAGCTACAACTATCAGCATGCTATATACCGCTTTTGGAGTACTTTCTGGAGTACATGTTCCTTGTACAGCAATGGCTAAAACTCACTGGATGTCCTTCTCAAAATATCCAAGAATTCACACTGGAAAAAGTGAAAGGAAGGGGAATAGTATTTTGATTCCATGTAAAAACTGGAAACCAGTGAATGAGATGAGTGGCTTGTTGACAGTGGGTAGACAAGTTCTTTTAGGGTGTGTAATCTGGGTATTAAAGGTGTAAAAAAAGAAATCTATTCAATTTGTTATTTATTTTGGAATCTAACTTAAACTAGTTTTATTTAATTGCAAAGCATTTGCCTTAATAAACTCAAGTGCAATGCATCAATTTATAATGCACCATATACCTTCTGTTCAAAATATACATGAAATACTTACGCAGTGGATTTTGCCCCTCACTAGCATAGTATTCATACATTCCACTTTTCACAAGTGTGTCATAATGGGGAAGGAAATCAATGCGTTCCTGTGTTGCTGAGGGAAGTGACTGATCAACTGATTGTAGTAAATAGAAAGTCATCTTGTCTTTAACCATTTCACCTATAAGATACATATATTACTTTTAATAAGGAAATCTATTTCATTATCCATAGCAGTTTCTCAAAATGGAAACAATTCCATTTCCAATATTTAAAAATTGGTATACTGTATTTACCATAGATTTGCAAATAAACACCACAGTTTGCATTACATAAAACAATCTAACACAGTTCATTTTAAAGGCAGAAGTTGAAAATTCTCATACATCTGATCATTTTTTAAAAGTTCACACACTAAGGACTGTGAAATATTTTTCAAGTTTGAATCATTTTGCAAAATCCTAGGACTGTTAATATACAAGAGCAAGACAAAGCTAACAAAGCTCTAGTGCTGAGAATGGTGTATTAACAATCATTCAGTTTACTGCTGTTGTTTAGGTTAAAAATCTATGGGGTTCTTACAGCAGGAGATGACAACCTGATACCATCAAGATCTATGACCTACAATTCCCATCAGCTCTAGCAGCGTAGCCAGTGTTGGCTATGCTGTAGGAGCTGTAGTTTAAATTTTCTAGAGTGAACCAGGTTGCCTACTCCTGCATTAGAGAAACATACTTACTGAAGTTTTCATTTGTCATCTCTTTTCTATTAGTTGTTGTGATAATAAAATTTTCTTCAGAGGAAATACCAAATACCTAGAAGTGCAAGTTAAATACTAAATTACACAAGGGTAAGAAAAAGTTAAGAAATCCATATAAAATCACCTCTTTTTCACAACACTAGTTATAAGCATAAATGGCTAACATTTTAAGATGATTTTGCCATGGCATAAGAATCTCAAAACTACTCTGTTACATCAGTCATAATAAGTATAGGGCTGGAGAAGAGCCATTAAAGATCAAACATATACTGAAATATGTTTTGAATAAAGTCACGCCTTTGAACAGGTGCAAATAATTGGCCAGGCACCCTTAATCAGAATTCTGTTAGTCTAAACCAACTTTTCATAGCAGTAGCTTCCTCTGAAAGCACAGAGCGAGCATTTTCATAATTTGGCAACATTCACACAAAACTAGAGAATTGACAGGAAGCTGAAAAAGATGGAAAACTCATATTTCTGTTTCAATCCATAAATACAAATAGAGTGCAAATGTCTGTTAGCATTAAGAATATTGAAAAATCTAAAAATAATCTTAGGCCATTGTCAGCTAGAGTGCAAATAATGTAAGACTCAAAGTAAAACGATTAAACATACTCTAGAACACATAATCGTACCCAATGCACAGTAGTATGGGCAGCAAAGAAGCATTACTTTGGTGTTTTCATTGCATCCTCAAGTAGACATCCAGCAGAGCTCTTCTGAGTGATTTGATGGTCCTCTCAAAGACCCTCTGTGACCTTTTTGCAGGACAATTTGGGGATAAAATGTTTGTCTCTGCAGTGAGCTTGAAGCCCTGCAGCCTGATAATGTGGACAAGATGTTTGCAGGAGTGCAACCAACCATTTATTTTCTCAATCCTTGTCTTCCTAGTCAATAAAAACTAGATGATGGAATATAATTAGGTGGGTCCAGGAGAACATATATCTGCATGAAAAGATTGTTTCTGCTCCCCTTAAAGAAAGCAGTAGTATGACCACTCTTGAAAACATCCACTCTGGACCAAACAATATTTGATAACTGTCACCCAGTTGCAAATACTCATTTTTAGGTGAGGTACTTGTCAGGGTTCTATCTGAGCAACCGAAGGAACTCTGGGAGGATACAGATTATCTAGACCTATTTCAGTCTACATTTCAACCTGATTTACAGGACTGAATCAGCTTTGGTCACTATGAAACATAATGTTTATTGCAAAAGGGCCAGGGGGAATGCAACCTTGTTACTTCTATCAGATCTTTCATCAGCTGCTTTAGATACCATCAACATGGTAGTCCCTACACAATCAATTATGTGGTACTGGTCCTACTTGAGGGGTTGCTTTCAGAGAAGCAAGATTGGGTAACTATTCCTCAGACCCCTAGCAATTGCACTACAGAGTTCTTCAGGGCACCATCCTATCCACAGTGTTGTCTAACATCTACACGAAACTGCTGGGAACAGTCATCTGCTGATCTGGAACCAGGTGCTATCAGTATTTTTTATTTTTATTTATTTGTTTCAAACTTTTGTATACCCATCCCAAACATCTCAGGACAGTTCTCGACAACTGTTCACAACAATATGTGTTTACACCTATCTCCCTATGACAACTGAATCGGGAGAGGCTTTGCAAGTCCTGGATCAGTGTCTGGACCCAGTGATGGGTTAGATGAGGGCCAATAAACTGAAGATGAATCCTGGAAAGACAGAAACTGTGCAGGTGGTCCCTGAAATGAGAAAAAGGCTCACTGCCTGTTCTAGATTTGGATTTCAATCCCTTTGAAAGATCAGGTCCATAGTCTGCGGGATACATCTACATTCATTGCTGGAGTCCCAAGTGGTTCATAGTACCCTATACCATCTCCAACTGATTTGCCGGCTATGGCCTCCTCAGGACAGGAATAGGCACCATGATACAGGCACGAATACCTTCAAAACTGGAATACTGCAAAGTGCTGTATATGGGGTTGCCCTTAAGGCTGCGCTGGAAGCTTGCGCTAGTACAGAATAGAGCAGCTTGGCTTACTCTTGCAGCATGCAACTCCCTTGTCGAAGAACCTGCTCTGGTTGCTATTTGATACTGGGTATAGTTAAATGTTTTAGTAATAGTGTATAAGCCCACGACAATTTGGGACCAGAATACCTCAGTATCAATCTGCCTAGTCACTGAAGTAAATGGAGGACATTCTCTTGGTGGGTCAACATAGACCTATGGCTCAAGTGGAGTGCATGAGCAGAACAGCCTTCAGTGTGGCAGTCCCATCTCTATGGAATTCCTTGCCTATGCACCTGCTGAAGACATTGTTGATCCCAAAAGCCTTTCTCGCTGACCAGCCATGGTTTTAATGTTACCTTGTTTTTACTGCATTATTTTTATTCTTTGATATTTTTAAACTGTTCTATCTATATTGTGATGCTAACATTTTGCACTGCAATTACAGAGACTTCTTTCCAAATATAGTAACTCTACAAAGGCATTTTCCAGCATGGCTGATCACCTAATATGTGAGCCTCTTGTTTCCACCTCTAAATTTGACATTACTTCCCAGGCTGTATAGTCAATATGTTTGGTATGATTTAAAGGTATGACCAAAGGTAAATGATCACTTTCAGTAAGTTTGAGCATCTTACAGATGGACATCAAATTTAACAAATTATTACGACACTATAAAATAGTCAAATGAAGATATTTCAAGACCTCATAAGAATGTAAATCCACCATTCTTATATCCCTCCACACACTTACCATATTTTTCCGTCTATAAGATGCCCCCATGTATAGGACACCTCCCACTTTTCCTACCCATCTCCAGTGAGCAAGCTGCTGCTGCTCCCCCGCAGCACCTCACTGCCCCCTGCACATGCCACTTCACAGCCCCCCGCCCACGTCACCCCCCCGCACCCTCCCGTCCGCACACGCCGCCCCCCTCCCGCTCATCTCCTCTTCCAGATATTCAGTTTCATCAAGTGTACAGCTCATGTTGCTGACATTTAAGATCACTGGATATATTACATTTTTAGGTAGTAACTTCCTGGGAAATCCAATTCCTTTTCTTCTAGAAATCACATAGCAATCTAGGTTTAATAAAGTACAGAAGGGTTGCAATGATCCTCACTAATACCTGGTTCTCTACTGTTTTTCAGACCTTTTCTTGTGTTTGATCCTCACCTATGAAGTTGGTCAAGCCAAGAGAATATCTATGAACATTCACACAACTCCAGTTACACAACCAGCAATCTTCTTTTGCAGCACAAACAAAATCATAAATGATGTGCATAAAAGAGGGATTCCACTTATGCTGTGTTTGCATCAATCTTGATTCTGGGCAAGCACCATGAGAGCCAAGCCCAGGAAAACCAATGGATTCCCACCCCCAAAACAGATTCCCTCACACTTCTTTATTGCAGAGTTTTCAAATCAGATAACTTGTAATAAATCAGTTTTATTTCCTATTGAGTTAATTTCAACAGTGATGAAGCAATTAGCCTTCTCCACTTCAGTGATCTCCTGGATAACTTTCTTTATTTTGTTTCTGCTGAATTAAAACAAAATCCTCTGCTGTCCTATGTATATATTTTTCATCTGTAGATCCATTATACCCTGCCTGTATAATTATTAAATAGATTCTAAGGACCACAAGTCTCTTCAAAATTTCACCTTGCACTTCTAGGTGCAGAGCACAGAAGAACTTTAAGAGAACTTTTTCATCATCATTAAAACAAATTTTCTCCTCATGCTGTATTTCTGTATTTCCTGGAGGTGGGCAACGCCTCTTTAAGAGACGGCCGGGTACCTGCCCCTTTAAAGGAAGCGGTAGTCCGGCCAGTCCTAAGGAAGGCATCCCTGGATCCAGAGGTGGCCGCCAATTATACACTGGTGGCCAACATCCCGTTCCTGGTCAAGGTGCTAGAGCAGGTGGTGGTGGGACAACTCCAAGCACTCTTGGATGAAACTGATTATCTGCACCCATTTCAGTCTGGCTTCAGACCCGGGTATGACACTGAATCTGCCTTGGTCACCCTGTACGATGACCTGTGCAGGGAGAGAGACAGGGGGAGTGCGTCCCTGATAGTTCTCCTGGACCTCTCAGCAGCTTTCAATACCATCGACCATGGTATCCTTCTGAATAGGCTGGTGGGATTGGGAGTTGGAGGCACCACGTGGTGGTTCCGCTCCTATCTCAACAGCTGATTTCAGAAGGTGGTGCTGGGGGACTATGGCTCTGCGCCATGGCAGTTATGCCATGGAGTTCCGCAGGGGTCCATTTTGTCCCCTTTGCTATCTAACATCTACATGAAACCGCTGGGAGAGGTCATCAGGAGGTGTGGGCTGCGGAATCATCAGTACACTGATGATACCCAGCTCCACCTCTCGTTCTCCACCAATCCAGGTGAGGCAGTGGCTGTGCTGAACTGGTGCCTGGCCGAGGTAATGAGCTGGATGAGGGCGAATAAACTGAAGCTCAATCCAAACAAGACAGAGGTCCTGTTGGTGGGTGGCTCGGGCCTCGGGATGGGGGACTTGGGCCTTGTCCTAAATGGGGTTGCACTCCCTCTGAGGGACAGAGTTCGCAGCTTAGGAGTGCTCCTCAACCCTGAGCTGTCTCTAGAAGCTCAGGTGATGGCGGTGGCGAGGAGTGCCTTCCTTCAGCTTCGGCTGATACATCAGCTGTGTCCCTTCCTGGAGAACGACTGCCTGGCGACAGTGACACACGCGCTGGTAACTTCCCGATTAGATTTCTGTAACGCGCTCTACGTGGGGCTACCCTTGAAGACGGTCTTGATACTTCAATTGGTGCAGAACAGAGCTGCCAGGTTGCTGACGGGGACTGTGCGTTGTTCTCATATAACCCCAGTTCTCCGTCAGCTCCACTGGCTCCCGATTGAAGTCCGGGCCCAATTCAAGGTGTTGGTTATGACCTATAAAGCCCTAAATGGCTTGGGACCTGGATATCTAAAGGAACACTTGCATCCATATATGCCTTGCCGCCCCTTGAGATCAGCAACAGATGCCCTTCTCCAGGAACCCTCTGTGAATGATATCAGGAGGGTGAGTACCCAAAGGAGAGATTTCTCTGCGGTGGCGCCCCATCTATGGAATGCGCTCCCCAGAGAGGTCTGCCTGGCGCAGTTGTTGTTTTTCGACGCCAGGCTAAAACCTTTTTAAAACTTATTTTAATTGCTAAATTATTTGAATAAATAGGATTTTAAATTTTTAGCCGAGAATGCACCAGGGTGTTTTAAACAATTTTTTAAAATTGTTATATTGTTATTGTTTATGTATTTATGTATCCTTTGTGAGCTGCCCCGAGGCTTTGTTGCAATGGGGTTGGCATAGAAATGTTTTAAATAAATACATAAATATTCACAAGTCCAAATTTATTCATTTCTCTTTGGCCCTTGTTTATCTTCATTTCTGTGAATTAAGATTTCTTCAAAGGCTTTCAGGAGAATTAAATTTGTAAGATGGCAGCATTCTGAACCGACTGCTTTTTGTACATGTTCCAATGTAGCCAACTAAAGCCAATGGAGGTGTTCTGTTCTCTAAGAATATTGAAACTATGGTACCATTTTCAGTGAGTACACCTCTATTTTTATACACAATTTTGGCTGAGTCATGCCCTTTGACGGTGACTACAGCATGCGCATGAAGTAATTACTTTATAAACATTCCACATCAGCAAACCTGGGAAAACTGCATCAAGACTTTTCATTAAATACAATTTATGTTCATTCTGTACTAATCTCCCCTCCTTGGTTTAGGTTAGTTGGACAAAACTAACTTTTGAGCTAATACCACATTACAATTTTCACAACATACTACCTTCTTCTGACACATTTTTATTCTTAATAGTACAGGGAACCACGGGTTCTGCATCTCAGTATCCTGAGCATGGACAGGAACAAATGAGTGGTGGTACAGTAAAAGTTCTAAACTGTTTTCAAGATGGGGTCACATTATCACATTTATTTTCTTCCTACTCATCTGTCCTAATTCGAGAACATCCTCTTTAAAATCATGAGTACTACTTTTAAGATGCACAGGCCAGTCTAAGGTGAAATTTGGGATAAAGACTTGTCTTCCACCTCTTGATCTTTATCCCTGGCTTTAAAAAAAAGTTTTTTAAACCATTTGTTCGATTCTTCTGGCCTTTGGAGAAATATTTCTTATGATAGGTGGAATTCCTGTATCTATGTATGCCTTGCAATAAGAACTCTTTCAAACCAAAACTATCTCGGAACAAAACAATGAAATACTGCTTAGAATAATTATTTTCCTATTCAGCAGTTGAGGCAAATGTTCTCAGCCTTTGAATATTTATATTTATGTATCAGCCTTTCTGAGAAAATTTTAACTCAGAAAATCTTCAGAAGCTCTGTTTTACTTTCTGTGGAAGATCCTCTGATTGATT